TTGGCTTAAAAATGAAGAAAAATTGATCAGATTTTTCTAATTTCATCAATTATTCAGTTTTGGAAATATAGCATATTCTAAGCTAACAGTGTTCCATTTCTAAAGGTTCAAATGATTCTTTTGTTATATGTAAAGTATTTCCTAACATTTGGAAAAAATGTAAGTGTTTTAAGTTTATGAGCTTTATTTTTCAAAAAGTTTGTTTGCTTAGGTACAGTTGTGTGTTTGAATCAAAGGCATGGTACAAAATCTTTCCTTAGAGGAAAAATAAGTATGTAACCATAACTTGTTTGCAAATGACAAATGTCTCCTGCCATTGCATTATTATAAATCAAAATTTATTATGCTTAAATGATGCACAGTTGACTGTTTATTGCATGAAACCAGAGTAATAATTCCGTTTTATATTATTTTTGGATATTTCTGTTGAAGTTTATACATTGTGCATATTTCTACTGTCGGGTTTTTTGACGGGTTGATCTGTAAAAAAGATAACAAAAAATTATTAAATGCTAAATATCCATTTAGCTATTAAATTTTAAATGTATGAAATATGTTTTTGAACAGGCCCGTTGTTTTGTTACAAGTAAAAGCTAAACAAAGGCCCATTGGGAGATTTTGCAATAAACATGGACATGGATAGGTCCAGGTATCAACAACAGTTACAACTCATAGATGAGCAGGTAACCATGACAACCTTGTTAACTTTGACCTCCAGTTCTCCCAAACTTACCCTATATCTTGCTTTATTTATGTATTGGACTTGCCCTATTTTGATTTTGGAATGGTCCATTGTTGACATAAGAAAACTTGCGATCAGAATAAAAAAGTAAATGTGTATTTAACCAACAGTGGTTCAGAATGTATGTTTGGGTTGTTAAATCAAATGGTAAGTTTAAAGTGTACTGTAACGTGTATATAAATGTATGCTTGGGTCGTTAAATCAGAGGATAAGTTTTAAGTGTACTGTAAAGTGTATAGGCGCTAGTCACATTATCAAATATTTTATATAATGGGCTTACAATCATATAGTATATAGCCGATATAGAACATAAAAAAAGTTTGTTTCAAGCACCTGTGATAAGCTTATCATCATGGCAACAATTAATGCAGCACATTGTTAAGTAAATTTAATATTTAATTTAGGTAGCATTACTTGTTGAAGGTCATTTCTTTAAAGGAGTTAACTGTTGTATGATTAACCAGTGTCTTTCAATTAGTTTTGAAAGACCTTGGATTAACAAAGAACTACAAATCAGACGCTTGTTTATGTCATAAAATCATGCCCTAAATTTAGTAAAAATGTCCTGAAAAAGCCCTAAAAAGGCCTTAAATTTATGTATGAGAAGTCATGTATGAACCATGATGACCAGTCACATATATATTGTAAAATAAGCATAAACTAAGCATCTTGTTAAGTGAATTGATTTGATTTTTCATAGGACTCATACATAAGTGAGAGAGCAAGCACAATGCAAAATATAGAGTCAACGATCGTAGAACTTGGTCAGATATTTACACAACTTGCTCATATGGTGAAAGAACAAGATGAAGCTGTACAAAGGTAAGGTCACAAAGGTTAAAGGTTAATGAGGTTAATGATTTACCATTGTATGACTCTGTTTAAAGTAAAAAATTGGATACTGGTTTTAAAAATAAGCTGATGTAGAGACATATTTGTAATCAGTATATTGTGGTTGGGTGTGAAAGAAACATTAATGCAGACAAAATGTAAAATACTTTTTGACTTTTTTGAACAAATTATATTTCATACATAAAGGCTAATACGATTTTCTAATTTTCAATATTTTCCTTATATGTTTGTTTTGATGAATTTTGTAAAAATTCAGAAGATACTTGTATGTTAAATAAAAACCTTTGTTTGTTTTACTTCCTTTTCCTGAACTACTACAGATCTTTCCTCACATTAACTTGACAAAAATGACTACAAAAATGTCCATTGTATAAACTTTGTCAGTTATACTTTTCAACTGCAGCGAACAGGTCTTGATTGTAACTTATTTTATCATATAATATGTGTTTGTTTATGTGATTACAGGATAGATTCCAATGTAGAGGATGCACAACTGAATGTGGAAGCTGCTCATGGCGAAATTTTAAAATACTTTCAGTCAGTGACGAACAATAGATGGCTAATGATAAAAATATTTGCTGTGTTGATAATATTTTTCATCATTTTCATAGTGTTTATGGCCTAAATGTGGAAATTTTAAATAATAAAAGAAAAAAAAAAGAAACAACAGTGAAGGATTCTCTCTAACTGTGCCTTGAGAAATAAATTGAAAAATGAATTTTAACGACAGCCATCAAAAAGAATTTGAAAATGTAAACATTTTTTGTGTGTTTTTAACAGCATTTGTTATCATAGTTGGGATGTATTTGTGTTTCATCACAAATAAGCTTTGTGCATATATGCCTGCATATTATACTAGTAATATGATGATAATCAACCTGTTTTAAGGGGGTAAAATATAATTTAAGGGGATTTAATAATGTACATGCACGCCTGTTTAATAAACAGTCAGATGCTGAGTTAACATGGTATATGTGTGTGTGTCTACAAAATATTAACAGAAAAAATATGACAGTGAAGTAAAAGTAGCACATAATCGTATTTCACATTGGATGATATTTATTTGGTCTTGTATGTATATTTTTGTAAAATGCTCTGATAAAAGTGTGGGATAATCATACAATATAAATTGAATGTTTCCACTTTCATTTTATTTTTATTTTCAGCCGAGAAACAATTTGTTGCTGAAGTGAGTTAATAATAATGTGATTATTTATTGTGTTCTGAATACAATGTACAGTGATAAATCTTGTTCGTATGCGAGACCTCTCCACATTATGCTAGTATGTTTGACATAAATTGCATTTCCATTTGTTTTCTGGTACCTTGGCCTCCACTAAATTCTCATAAAAATCACTTCTATCAGAGGGATGGTAATTAATAATGTTTTAAGAATTGTATAAAGTCTACATGTCAATCATATCAGCTACATATTTGATCAGTTGTTGACAAAATTTTCATATATACATGTATAACTCAATTGCTTGTTAATTAACCCAGGGTCTTATATTAGATTAAGCTCTATAAGATGAAAGAAGGCTTTTTGTTTTGCCCTGCAAAAAAATCATATTCATGTTTTTAGCTTTGTAAGAAATGTGATGGAAATGTTAGTTTTGTCACATATGGTTTTCTTACATATATGGTTTCCTTGCAATATTGGATCATGTTTGCCCTCTTTATTTATTTTTTTTTTCAAATTTTCTTTTAAATCGATTTTATGTGCTACATTAATCTTAATTTTTTTTTTATCTCTTGAGTATTCTTTTCATCAAAGTATTGATAGTTTCATGTCATTTATATACTTAAGTTAAACTTAAATTAGGGCTATGACATTATCATTTAACAATACATATAATAATAGTATTGTTGTTATTTGTTAAAATTAGCCGTGTCACGACAAAACCAACATAGTGGGTTTGCGACCAGCATGGATCCAGACCAGCATGCGCATCCGCGCAGTCTGATCAGGATCCATGCTGTTCGCTATCAGTTTCTCTACTAATAGAGTTGGTAAGCAAACAGCATGGATCCTGATCAGACTGCGCGCAGACTGCGGTGGTCTGGATCCATGCTGGTCACAAATGCACTATGTTGGTTTTGTCATGACGAGGCTCAATTATGATTATGTTCCTGTATGTATTTGTTTCTATTACATATTATGGTACTAATAAATTTTGATTTGTTCACATAAAGAACAAATCTTTTAAATTGAATCATTGGATATTCATGAAATAAAAGTTGTAAGAATGCAAAATTTTGTTTTGGTTGTTGGTTTGAAGTTATACTGCACTCTGTTTTTCTAAAATTATCATTCTTACATGTATTGTAAAAAATGACCCAAATTTGAAAAGCATTACAATGCTTTTAACTGAAATCGGGCTAAAAACAGCACAATAATGTTATTTTCAATTTATTTCTGAGTATATTTCTTATCATTGTTTTGAGTACCTGAGCTGATGTATGTAAAAAATTCAAATTTTATGTTTTTAGGCGTTTGGACTTCAGTCGAGGTCCTTTAAGTTAATGCAATTTATACAAGATTCAATGAAGGTCTTAATATAACCTCTAAGGCACATCAAAAAACTAATTTTGAGTATTACAGCAACTACACAGGGACACTATATCCTTTACAAAGTACTTTTTTAGATATGTTTTGGAAGAAAATCGAGTTTTACATAGTAATAAAAATCCTTTATTTTAAAGGCTCAAGTACATATATGTTTTTAAGATTGAGGACCTAGACAGAAAATGAGCATGTACTGGCTAGATCTATTTACACATGATTTATACTGTACAAGTATAAACAACATGAACATCATGTTTTATTTGAATTGCATCATGCACGTTAGAGATTAAAGTGCATGCAATGAGAAAATGTTGAGTTATGTACAGCTGATACTGTAATTAAAAGTTCTTGATGACATGTTAATGTTTTCGCTCTGTCAAATTGTAATTCATTACAAGATAACTTGTGTTTGAACTTCTTTTTGTGTTCAGGAAACAACAATCAAATCTTATAAAATAGTTTTAATGCTATACTTAAAAATATTAGCCGGCTCTGCAAGTAAAACATATATCAATATTTAACTGTTGAAAGGGCGGATTTTTATTGAAACTCTTAGACTTTTATTAACAATTTTATGATAATTTTTTGCAAGGGAGATAATAGGGACTTGTTTTTTCAAAGGGAGATAAGAGATTTCGTTTTACTTTGGTCTCCATGTTCATTTTCTGGAGAGAAAAAATTACAATCATGATAACATCAAAAGAATTGCTTGAAAGTATCTGTTGTTAATGATTTATGCAACTACAAGGCTCACACTGGCATTTATTGCACATGAGGGATTTTATGATCAAAGGTTGCCATAGCTCCTGGGTCCTATTTGAGCCTAGCCAGATCCAATTTTGCCTAATTGAGTAGAATGTTGTAGTATATTGCCTTTTTGTGTCGCCTCTACGGAGTAGTGGCGACATATAGGGATCACTTCTCCGTCATCTGTCTGTCCGTCTGTCTGTCTGTCCGCACTCACAGGAGAGTAATTATGTGGCTAGAGGGACAATAGGTTCTCTTTGATGTCATTCATTCCGTAATGCTTTTATGTGGCTATTTTCTTTTGCGTGGCTAAAAAGAACAATAGAGAGAACAATAGAGTAGCCACATAATGACTGTCCTGTGAGAACGTCCGTCCGTCCGTCACAAAACTTGTCCGGACTACTCCTCATAAACTACTGGTGCAATTTCATCTTAACTTTACAGAAATGATCAGTACCAAGTGTAGTTGTGCATATTGTCAGCATTTTCCGGTTCAATGATTTTTGTCAGAGTTATGGCCCTTTAATAATTTTTAGCTCACCTGTCACAAAGTGACAGGATGAGCTTTTGTGATCGCTTTTCGTCCGGCGTCCGTCCTTAAACTTTTACTTTAAATGACATCTCCTCATAAACCACTAAGCCAATTTCATCCAAACTTCACAGGAATGTTCCTTTGGTGGTCACCTTTAAAAATTGTTCAAAGAATTTAATTCCATGCAGAACTCTGGTTGCCATGGCAACCGAAAGAAAAAACTTTAAATATCTTCTTTTAAAAAACCCAAAGAGCTAGAGCTTAGATAGTTGGCATGAAGCATCTTCTAGTGAGTGTCTACCAAGTTTGTTCAAATAAAAGCCCTGGGGTCAAAATTGGCCCCGCCCCAGGGGGTCATTGATTTTCCCTAAATGCATATAGTAAAAACCTTCTTTTAAAGAACCCAAAGAGCTAGAGCTAAGATATTTAGCATGAAACATCTTCTAATGAGTGTCTACCAAGTTTGTTCAAATAAAAGCCCTGGGGTCAAAATTGGCCCCGCCCCAGGGGGTCATTGATTTTCACTATATGCATATAGTAAAAACTTAAAAAATCTTCTTTTAAAGAACTCAAAGAGCTAGAGCTAAGATATTTAGCATGAAACATGTTCTAATGGGTGTCTACAAAGTTTGTTCAAATAAAAGCCCTGGGGTCAAAATTGGCCCCGCCCAAGGTGTCATTGATTTTCCTTATATGTGTATAGCAAAAACTTAAAAGTCTTCTTTGAAAAAACCCAAATAGCTAGAGTTTAGATATTAAGCATGAAACATCTTCTAGTAAGTGTCTACAAAGTTTGTTCAAATATAAGCCCTGGGGTCAAAACTGGCCCTGCCCTTGGGGTGTCATTGTTTTTAGATATATTTGTATAGTAAAAACATAAAATATCTTCTTTTAAAAAACCCAATGAGCTAGAGCTTAGATATTTAGCATGAAACATCTTCTTATGGGTGTCTACCAAGTTTGTGCAAAGAAAAGCCTTTGGGTTAAAATTGGCCCTGCTGGGGGGGGGGGGGGGGCAGGTCATTGTTTTTCATTATATGTGTGTAGTAAAAACTAAACAACATGAAACATCTTCTAATGGGTGTCTTCCAAGTTTGTTCAAATAAAAGCCCTGGGGTTTAAACTGGCCCCACTCTGGGGGGCCACTATACAGGTGAGCGACCTCAGGGCCATCATGGCCCTCTTGTTAATTTTAAAGTTTGTCCGGACTACTTCTCTTATACCACTAATGCAATTTCAATGAAACTTTACAGGATTGATCTGTAGCTCAAGTCCTTGCGCATATTGCACGGGTGTTCCGGTTGAATGATTTTTGGCCGAGTTATGGCCCTTTGATAAAAAGGTGTTTTTTTCTGTGTGTTGCCAGATACGCAAGGGCTTGTCCGGACTACTTCTCATAAACTACTGGTGCAATTTCATCCAAACTTTACAGGAACTAGAGGATGCTTTTGTAAAAAAGCGCATGTCTCCCCCACTGCTGAGAATAACTGTGAATGGAAACAGGAATGGAAATGGAGATAAGATAATGTAAATACCCGGTAGTCACTTCAATGAAGGCTGTCTATGGATGGTTTCTATTGTTAAGGTTGTATGAGAAGATGCTTCCTAAACTGTTTGTTTTTTAACCAGGTATTCAATTTTGAAAATCCTGGTTATTCAATCAGCGTATGGCAGGCGGGCGTCAAACGAAATTGCACTTGATGGTCATATCATATATAGTTTTCACAAATGAAATTAAATGAAATTGTGTCTGCTCCATAATTCTTCAAACCTTTAAAGGATTTTGATGATACTTGAAAAAACGTTCATATTGTCAGATTTTTTTACACTATTGAAAGACCAACTCAAATTACAATGTATGTAAAATCATGATAACTGTAGTGTGTTGGGATGACTCCTTTCGTTTTCACAATGAAGCCTCTCTGGTAGATACTTGAAACAAAAATTCACCACATCCAGAGAAACGTGTAGAGTACATGTTTCGTATGGCTGGTTCCAAGGTCAAGGTCTACTTGACACTTGAATGTCATATCATATATAGTTTCACAAACGAAATTAAAGGAAATTGTGTCTGCTCCATAACTCTTCAACCCTTTGAAGGATTTTGATGATACTTGAAACAAACGTTCATATTGTCAGATTTTTTACACTATTGAAAGACAACTCAAATTTCAATGTATGTCAAATCATGATAACTGTAGTGTGTTGGGATGACTCCACTCGTTTTCACAATCAAGCCTCTCTGGTAGATATGGTCAATAAGTGTCTTGTGTGCTGTAGTAGCCTTGTTTATTATTTGTTTAAAGCGATGTCGTAACATAGTGTGGGTCAATGGATGTTCTAAATATTGAATGAGGTCAATGTTGAAGTCTCCTAGAACTATGCAGTTTTCTGTTGGTGAATTTTCCCAAGACAAGGGTAAGCTTTTGAAGGAACAAGTTAATCGGCCAATGACGGAGGTTTATATACAAGGGTTGATTAATAAGACCAATCATCCTATGAAGTTTGAGGGTTGTAGGTCAAAAGGAACTCTAGTTATCATCCGGAAATGAGAAATTGACCAACGGTCACTGTGACCTTGACCTTTGACCTACTGACCCCAAAAACAATAGGGATCATCTGCTCTATAAGACCAATCATCCTATGAAGTTTGAGGGCTGTAGGTCAAAAGGAACTCTAGTTATCATCCGGAAACGAGAAATTGACCAACGGTCACACTGTGACCTTGACCTTTGAACTACTGACCCCAAAAAACAATAGGGATCATCTGCTCAATAAGAACCAATCATCCTATGAAGTTTGAGGTCTGTAGGTCTAAAGGAACTCTAGTTATCATCCGGAAACGAGAAATTGACCAACGGTCAGTGTGACCTTGACCTTTGACCTACTGACCCCAAAAACAATAGGGATCATCAGCTCTATAAGACCAATCATCCTATGAAGTTTGAGGGCTGTAGGTCAAAAGGAACTCTAGTTATCGTCCGGAAACGAAGAATGGACGGACGGACGGACGGACGGACTGACGGACGGACAGGGCAAAAACAATATGTCTCCCCCCGAGGTGGGGGAGACATAATGATCAGTACCAAGTCTAGTTGTGCATATTGTCAGCATTTTCCGGTTTAATGATTTTTGTCAGAGTTATGGCCCTTTAATAATTTTTAATTCTAAAGTTTGTCCGGACTACTTCTCTTATACCACTAATGCAATTTCAATGAAACTTTACAGGATTGATCTGTAGCTCAAGTCCTTGCGCATATTGCACAGGTTTTTCTGGTTGAATGATTTTTGGCCCAGTTATGGCCCTTTGATAAAAATGTGTTTTTTTCTGTGTGTTGCCAGATACACAAAAGCTTGTCCGGACTACTCCTCATAAACTACTGGTGCAATTTCATCCAAACTTTACAGGAATGATCAGTACCAAGTCTAGTTGTGCATATTGTCAGCATTTTCCGGTTCAATGATTTTTGGCAGAGTTATGGCCCTTTAATAATTTTTATTTTTAAAATTTGTCCGGACTACTTCTCTTATACCACTAATGCAATTTCAATGAAACTTTACAGGATTGATCTGTAGCTCAAGTCCTTGCGCATATTGCACGCGTTTTTCGGTTGAATGATTTTTGGTTGAGTTATGGCCCTTTGATAAAAAGGTGTTTTTTTCTGTGTGTTGCCAGATACACAAAAGCTTGTCCGGACTACTCCTCATAAACTACTGGTGCAATTTTATCCAAACTTTACAGGAATGATCAGTACCAAGTCTAGTTGTGCACAGTCCGTCTGTCACAAAATTTGTCTCAAGATGAAATTGGCCATCATGAGGCGACACATGTGATCACTGATTGCTCTTGTTTCTTCATAGGGAAGTTGGTTCCTAATGATACTCTGTACTACATATAGAGAGTAAAAATCCACATTTGAAATGACTGAGTAGTTTAAAGAAAACTGAAATTACTGAATACAACATTCAGATCTTTCCAATGACATCAAACATATGCTTGAATATGTGTGTTGTGTTTCAAACTAGAATTGCACTATTATTAACGACATATGTGCTTATAAAATGTTTGTTTCAACTTTGTATGACATTATTGCTGCTGTGTCAGTTTCTATTTACAGCATCTGTTATTTTGTTAAATTGTTGAGACGACTAGCGCTAATGCACATACAATAGAGAGAACGATGATATTTTTTTTTCAAATATATATTTGACGATAATAAGAGCTGATATACATGAATATATAACTTAACAACAACATATCTCGAGCGATATACCTTTAACTAATAAATAACAGTCAAATTATAGGTGATATAGTGACTCAACATTTATTTTTATGACAAAAAAAGTTTCCTTTTCACGTGAATATAGGCCTACTTGTAAATGATTACATATCAATATGAGTATAACAATAACAATTAAGTCAAGAGATCCCCGGGAGATGCTTTGGTAGTTTAGCGTGGAGGAAGGTAGTCTAGTACTGGTGTAACTCTCCAGGAACGATGGTTAGGAAACTACCCGCCTATATGACTGAAATACTGTTGGGAAAGGCGTAAAATGAAACAAACAAACAAACAAATCAAGAGATTGTACAAGTAGCGAACATATGGAAATCGTGTGACGTTAAACATTTGTAATAGGCACTATGCATATGTCACTATGAATAACAAAAAGTATCACCATTATTTTGGCGCCATTTTATGCCATAGGTGGCCCATGGGCCATTTTGCGCTTTGTTGCATCCACAGAATGGCGACCAATCGGAAGTCTGCACTCTTATTTATGATAACACAAGCAAAACTGCTGATAAACACGGACGAAGGAATATATTCTTTGAATGAATTTAAATTCATAAAACTATCAACCAGCGGTAGAAAAGTACAAAGTTTTGAAAAACATTTTTATCAGTAATCAGTAGATTTGCCTTTTCTACTCATGTCTTCGCTAGTAATTGTGTTTTGTACGAAGCTTGAGCTGTGATGAAACTGTCCTCCTTACTAAGTCCAGGTGGCGCCATCTGGAAAGATACGGGCGTAACAGCGCTTAAAATAGGTCGTTCATTTGATTTCTTTTCTTTAGTTTGTTCTTTCGAGTTTGAAAGCGTTGAATCCTCCTTAGCAAGAAGATAGCCCGGGCTATCATTTTCTAGAGCCCTATCTTTAAATGTTATTTGCACAAAAGGTATACTTCTTGGATTATCAGCACTCTTTAAAAGTTGTCTATCAACACCTGTTTCTTCACGTTCTTCTAACATTCCAGAATTGGCAATTTCTCTAGTTTTTGCCAATGGTGTCATAACCTTGGCCTCAAAGTCTTCAGCAGAATTTGGAGGAGCAACAAAGTTCATGTCATTAATGAGTTGTTGAGTCTTTGAATGACTTTTCAAAATGTCTTCTTTCGTGACCTTCTGTTTTTGTTTCTTGTTAAGATTCGGAACGTTCAGTTCTTTCATGTGTTCATTGTGCTTCTGTAAGTGAACGAGCAATTCCTTGGCTAATTGAGACTGGCGGGAAGGCGTCTCCGTGTCTTGTAAATACTCTTTAATCATCTTTATAATCATATCATCATATACATTTGATACTATGTCAATTTTAGGTAAGGACATAGGTGTCCCAGTTTTCTTAACTCTTTTGGCTGTTGCCATACTGTCGCCTGCTATATATTTCTGACACATAGATTGCTTATCTAGTTTTTCGGACGGCAACAAGATGCTACCAAGCGTCATAGACCTTGGTCCAAGTGGCGGTATTTCAAGTCCAATGTTTTCTTTCATTTCATTAAAATTGAAAAGCATACCGGTTCCTTTAACTACCGGTAGCGCATTTAGGAAGGAGAAATTCCTCTGTCTTTGTTCAGATTGAGGTTTTGGATACGTGAACTCCTCGAATTTTGTGCCCAGTCCCAATGCACGCCTTTTCTGATCCGCTGATATATTCGGTAACTCCAAATGTTGAAGCGAAAATGAATGTGTTCCACGATTTTTACCGGAGTAAAGGGGTCCTGATAAAAACGGTTTCCTCGGGACACTATCATCTGTATCTTCGACAGGTTGTTCGGTCTTGCTTTCTCCTAAATGTGTAAAGAGGCTTACAGAAGGGGTGCAAGGTGGAATCCTTGGAGGGCTATGAACAGAGCGTATAATCTTCGAATTTGTATTATGAAACTTTGGCTGTTCTTGGCTCTCAGGACCTTCAAAAATGATATGACTAATAGAAGGTTTGCTAGAACCGCTGGAGTCAGGTTTCAATTTTATGCTTGACTTAATTCCCAATTCTCTGGCTAGACCAACTTTCTTGACGGGAGATTTCTGTCCATCCGTCCTTTCCCTTTTCCATCGATTTTCTTCCGCATTTCGCACCCGTCTCCTTTTATCAGCACTTTTACTCACACTTTTTCCAATAGCATCTTCTTTAATATCATCTGACACAACAAAATACGTATAAGGCGAACTTCCCTCAGTTTGTTTTACGGGACTCATATCTGATTTAGATCTGTCTAATTTAAATGTATCAACGGATGAACTGAGGTCTTTATTCAAATGCGCTGGACCGCACATAAGATTTATTTCTTCATTGCTACGTGTTTGTCCTTTAAATCGTTCTCTTGACTTTTCAAGCTTTTCTTTAATAATTTCCATCTTTTTGTTTAAAGTATCCTTTCTTCGGAGTTCTTTTATCGGTATCTTGTATTTTACAAATCCCTTCTTTTTCCTTGAAGATTTTTGTCCGAACTTTAAAATAATATCGGTACCAGTCTGTCCCGATACACCGGAAGGTGGTGGAGTGGTCGGTAGTTTATCTGGGGTGTCATTTTCGTCGTTTCTGATATTTTGTAACTCTCTAGGATCGGTCACTTTCTCTGCCGTGAGTATGAAGTACGGTTCTATCTTCGAGCCCATTTCTCGAAAACATCTGAAATGTACATAATATAATTTATAAGATGACCGAGTTTAAGATTCGGGAAGCATTTTATCATATCATAATATAATCATTATCGTATCATAATATAATAGAATATTATAACATAATCTAGGATATCTATCGTTTGGCACTTTTAACAGACGTAACCAATATTTAATACAATTTTTTTTGATTGGGTATCGTCCTAAGTCATCCATAACTGCATCATTACAAGCATTAGAGTTTACCACAACAAAATATATGGAGTGATTCAATACAGGAAAAATCACTAAGACCCCATAATTCCGAACCATACAACATAATGGGTTTTATCTTAACATCAAATATTTTAAATAAAGTATGGAATAAGGTATGCAACCGTAATCCTGAACAGAACTTAAAATATACAGAAACACTCTTTTTGCCTTAATAGGCATATGCTCTGCCATCTTGTACATAGATAATTTGCTAGTAAAATGAACACCAACATAATCAAACCCTTTAACAACTTTAATATTTCTACCAGAAAAGTGCCAATGCTCATGTTTTGACAACTGTTCCCCATTTTTAAAAAAACATAATTGTATTTTCTGATCGCAAGATCAGAAAATACATAGCTAACATCCACGGTCTAACACAAAATTTCCTAACAGATCTAACAACGCAAAGTAGTTCTCACTCAAAACTGCTTAAAAACCAGCAATTTAAAAGAAAGAATGATTTTTTAATGTAGGCATTTAACGAATTACAGTGCATTAAAAGTTTAGATTAGTCAATAGAAATATGAGGTTACAATCACAAATTTCGCGGATGAATATCTTTTTTACCCAATGAAAAATGTTCGGCTACTTCAGTAAAGCTTCGGATTATGGATTCAATGAAAATGCTATTTATAGCTATGTCGATTACCGAAGTACACAAATAAATCTGACTGTCGAGTAGTGGAATATATACATGTCGGGCTGTTTTGGCGAGAAGATTTTCGCTAAATTATTTTCATCAGTGTTATCGTGAACAAAATACCTCGAAATTAATAAGGTTTACAAACACGAAATGGAAATTACAATGTATCCCGAAACAACCAATTTTCAATCACAACCTAAACTCAAACAAATTTTGATTCCGTGATGCTGATGCCATGTCTGACTAAAGTATATAAAGCCACTTAATTGTCGTATTAACTTCAACACTTGCAGGAATGTCATACTTGATTAATTGTCAGATGTTATCAGAAAAACAATAAGAAATTGTTTGTTTTAAGCAGGGTCAAATTTCTATTTGAACGACCCTGTTTTAAGTGACATAATATAAATTGCCCAACTTAAACTATATCAAAATAGTCACTTGTTTAACATAGTGATAAAAAAAAATTCAAAGCAAGTCAGTATTGGGTACAGGGTTTTACCATTTACCTCAGTTTCAGGTGTATTTAAAACATTTATTTATATGATGTACCACTAAATATTCATCAGACTTTACAGAGGGGTCCTTATTAATAAAATCTTAAATTTTAATCAAGAATTTTTAAGTGATGATTGTAAAATAAATCTGTTGTATGCGATACCATCTGGCAGATCTAGACAAGTTTTCATATTTGGTAATACATGTTTGTATTATAAAATGGGTAACGTAAAGATTGAATGTATTTTTCGGGGCCTCCGTGGCCGAGTGGTTAAAGTCGCTGACTTGAGATCACAGGTCCCTCACCACTGTAGGTTCGATCCTCACTCGGGTCGAAATCTTTCATGTGAGGAAGCCATCCAGCTGGCTTACGGAAGGTCGGTGGTTCTACCCAGGTGCCCGCTCGTGCCTGAAATAATGCCCGGAGGGGCAACTGGGGTCTTCCTCCACCAACAAAGCTGGAAAAAAATCGACGAAAAATCTCGGCGGGACGCTCTAGGATGACCCGACTTGAGTGTACGGTCGCCAATATGGGCTTTCCGGCGGCGACCTTAAATAAACGCATTAATAAAAAATGAATGCATTTATCATTTAGCACTCGAAATAGCGTACTAAAAAGTGACACCTTTAACTGCCCTTTATATACATATTAACAGTAGACATACCAATGCATTGTACTGTTCATATGTTATAACATTTAGTGTAAGTTTTTTAAAGTTGAAATCGTTGAATAGACTGTTGTTAAATTTTCTACAATTTTTATTAGCCCTGATTTATCTTGAACAAATTCTTTAGTGGTGATTTAATACACTGCTGTTTGAATTTAGATTAAAATATTCCTGGGATTGACCTGAGTGGGTCATATCGTTTTGATTGTTTTTCTAAGAAAGATCAAGACATGTTGAAAATGTACCAACCTTAAAATGAATAAATGTTGATAGATGCATTAATATCTAAAATAAATTTAAAGCATAATTTCCCCTTTATTTAGTATTGGCTGAAAACAACTTAACTGATTGAATATTGGTTGTTCCGGGATATTTGTTTTTATTCAAGCTGCATACGCATTACTTCACCGTGGTGCAGAGGTAGCGCGCTCGTTTAGGGTGTGAGAGGCCTAAGGTTCAAATCCTAGTCGAGGCAACTTTTTTTTGAAGTGTCTTTTTTAAGGAAGTAGCCACGATATGCAAGGATAAAGTGTGGCTGTCATAAAAAATGAAAAATGATTTTTTGATGCAACTCATGCAAACTTCCATATGTATCAATCTCAAACTGTTATAGAAAAAAATCTAAACGCAGTCGCTGCGTAAGATGAAATATAGTATATAAAAATAAACTTATACAGGAAAATACATACAGATAGTCAGTATGATTTAGATTGCAAAGATCAGAAAATACCACAGAGCTTGCAGCCCTTTGATTTTTGTCTATGTTAACAACAAGTTTATATTGATTACAAAAATCTTGGAGACAATTGAGCTGTCGTTGAAGACCAACGATAGTATCAGATACAGACGCTATATCATCTGCAAACATAATCATAAATATTTCCAGAGTATCAGGATACAATTGAATATCCCTTATATTATTACTTAAAACAAATCATGTATTCATTAATATATAATGCAAATAATAGCGGACTTAGACTACAGCCTTGACATAATCCTGTGGGGCAATAAAAATATCAGAAACTTCAGATTTAGATTTAACAAAGCTGATACATAAATAGATTTAATTGTGTTATACAAACAACCAATTATTTTGTTTTACGTAATATATCATATAAATTTGTCCAATCTATAAAATCAAAAGCTTTTTGAAAATGGATGAAAGCTACATAAACTGGCTTTCGTTTCTGTTGGAGATATTTAGATACAATAGAGAATAGTATAAAAGCATTGTAAGTGTATGTCCCTCATATGTATGGAAGCATAACGTTGACATAATTTCGTTTCGCTGACATACAAGGTATTCTGCAGTACCCAATTTCATTGCCTCGGATGTTTTATTCTTCTGATCCGACATTTTCAAATTAATATTTACGAAAAGCAGTTGCAAGATTTCATTTCGGCAAAATAAAGGGGAAAAACTTATCAAAATGGCAAACCAAATGGTTTAAAAAGTTCTACTGTATCTTGTTTCTTATCACTATTCTTTTTATCCAAATTATTTAGAAACATTAATACAGGAATTTATGATATCATAAAGGATCGTTTCTTCGGTCGAAAACATTCTACCATTTTGTCTAAATTCACATTTATTTATATACAGTATATAATATCTAATTTAATGTGAATTATACTTATTAAATGCCTTAGTTATTGCAGTTGTGGTTGGTTAAAAAAACAACATAATTTCATTATATAAAATATGATCATGTAAAGCGTGATTAAGCGATTATGAATTAATAAATTACAAACCTGTACCTTGTCAGATTGAAAACTATCCATTTTAATACGAAATTGATTATATATACTCAAAACTAAAAGGTTAATTTCAAAACGAACGACTATAAAATCACATATCGTTAAAATATCGTATTGCAATCAATTGGGTAACAACTAGTTAGTACAAATCTATAGTTATGTCACTCAAATCTATGACTTTGTAATTGTCATTAAGTTAAAATTGGCATCATTCCAATCTTTTTTATATACTTTAATCTTAACAGATCATTTATATGTGTTTTTTATTTAATTGTTGACAATATAAATCAAGAGAAAAAAGACTTTTGAGTAAAAATTTCATTTTATCTATAAGTTTACATACCTTTCAAAAAGATTTATCTAATTGCGATAATAAAGTCACTCCGCATATTTGAAACAAGAATTTCCACCGACCAAATGCATGGCGCACATGCACGAAGTAAATGGTTTCATATTTACTATTTAAAGATAACATCTTTACATGCATACTGCTCAAATTTCTTTAAACCATTTGTTTAATCAGCCGGCTTTAATACATAGTTCTTCACATCACTACGATTTATCGTTGTTTATTGTAAATAGTTGTTAAGCCGGATAAATGTACTTTTTTCGGCATAGTCGAATTGGCAAAGATTAATTAATACACGTCATGTGTGTTAAAGAAAAAATATATGTATTTCTCTTGTATATACATTTATATTGGACAGACTATGAAGGTTTTTAATGCAAATTCAATAATAAAAAACATATTGTAATTGTATACGATTGTAAGGGGAACAATGCTCGTTTTCCAACAGTAATATTAATTTCATCTTAATGTATGTCTAATAAATATAAAATAGAGATATATACACGTGTAATGATAAATAAGTGCCGATAGTTGAACAAGTACTAAAAGGAATAATCCTTGAACTTTTTCAAACTGAAAATAAAGAGGGACAATGAATTTAACTTTCTAAGCTACGAGCGGAGTATCTTCTAGCGCGCGTTTTGGAGGTCTTAAAGTTTTTAAATAATAAAGTGCCAGAAAATCTAATATTTAAGAATGCAACTGAGTGTAAAATTTCTGATAGTTTATACTGTTACATGTGCTCTTTAAACATTATATAGTGAACGAAAAGGCTGGTTAGAGGCGGGTAAATAAATAAATGGCAGAAACAAGATTAGTGTGTTGTGATGGCAAATAGTTATATGTGCTATGAATATATTTTTTTCTGGGAATATTAAGGTTATAAAATACAGAAATGCCCATACCTACGAACCAATCCCGTATTATATAAAAAACAACCTCTAAATCGTATCCATTCTTTCCGTTACTTATAACTTATGGTGTATTGGTAACAAAATAAAACGGATATGTATTTTAAATCTCGGCTTTAATGTTAAAATGCTTTGCAACGGATTAATCTATTGATAACCAGATAATCCGCTAGAAAATATAGTAAAACTGTATCATTGTTGCTTTATATACATATCTACGGAAGCGAAAAAGTGCCACAAGTATGTAGTATTGTAACAATTAAGTTATTCGCTGTCAATAAGTGAAGTAAAATAGCGTTTTCTTTGGAACTGAGGTCTGTTATACAATTTCACAACCTAGGTAACTGGAAAATGGTCAAAAACTCGCAACGCACCATCAATAAAATGTATACCCCTCCCCGCCGCCCAATAGACAGTTTAAGGGATTCAAGTCAGAACTTTCCGGTCTTGTCGAGACGACACGGCGGTTTTGTTTTGATACCAAAACAACCGGGACATGTCCAGCATGCTTTGCGGTTCCTTATTATTAAGGTTAAGTTGTAAAAAAAAAAATGTCAAGTCCCCGGTTTGGTCGCGGTTACGATGGACAGGGGCTTCTTGTAAATTTATAAACAAAAATAACTAGTCGCATTGTATTAATAGGAATTGTAATTAATAAGTTTTCAAACTTATAATATTTGCTTGTCAAAGATTCCCCTCCGTACTTCAGACAAGTACAGCTTAAATAGATTAGCCTTAAGTAGTGATATAGAGAAAAAAGTATGCAATAAAGTACACTATATTTCAATTCAGTTTGATTTATAAAATATTTAAAGTGCTTTATTTTACTTATCAAAAGCATTTTGAAGGTAATCAGTATTTACGCTACAGGACCGAACATATTATGTGCAATTACTTTAACTTTAAAGATAAAGACTCGCGACATTTTACATAACAAAACATGTCCGAGGACAGCACGCTCAACTTTTCCGTGCGTGCTAGATAAAAAGAAAAGTAGAAAAGGGGGTATTATAATTCTGCAGTGTTTGAAAGGATAACCCGTCCTTGTTGTTAGTTTGGGGACTTTGAGAAAATTAATAAATATTATAAATAAAAAATGAGATATATTTTTTCTGACATTTTTATATACACATTAAAGTCTTGATAATAATTTATTTTAGTGTTTTAATTTTAAGTGAATATTTATGACAGTTTTGAGAAATGAGTAAGTAAAAAAGGGCATTACTTTCTGATTAACAGCCTTGTAATATGGCGTCACATTTTGATAATGTGTAGAGAATAGAAGTAATTTTCCAGACGTCATTTTGGCTTTTTGACGTCTTATCTTACGTCATATGACGTGAAAGCATTCCTTTTTAAGCTGTGTAAAATTGCACTTGATTGCCCTATCTTTTTGATGGTGGGATAATGTAAAACTTGTTAGAATTAAAAATATATATTTGCTCTATGTCTGCACTTTCTTCAAGAACATTTTTAATTTGTATTATTCTTCACAATAATTAATATTTACGGATTTAACTACTTCTAACTTACTTCACCACGTCATCAAATGTGATATATAAGATGTTGTAGAAATTAACTTGACCAACAAGTTTTCATACTTAAACGTCTGAAATTAGAGCATTTGACTTTGTACCGCATGTTCTTTTGTTCTTTGTTTTTACGTCGCACCAACACATTATATGTTATGTGGCGAGAGGAACCTTCCGCACGAACTGGTACCGAGTAGAACCACCAACGTTCCGTAAGCAAGCTGGATAGCTAGTCGGGACCAATTTTAAAAATTAAAATCATTACTGTACAGGGCCATAACTCTGATAAACATTGAATTAACCGAAAATGTTGGCGAGATGCACAAGTAGACATGTTATTGATAATTCCTGTAAAGTCTGGATGAAATTGCACGGAGTAGTCCAGACAAACTTCTCTGTAGCTTGCAACACAAAAAAATCAACAATTTTTATTCAAGAGCCATAACTCGACCAAAAATCATTCAAGCAGAAAACCTGTGTTATATGCGCAAGTACTTGAGCTACCAATCAATCCAGTAAAATTTCAATGAAATTGCATTAGTGGTATAAGAGGAGAATACCAGACAAACTTTGTTAACACCCTTTTTATTCAAGGGCCATAACTCAGCCGAAAATCATTCAACCGGAAAACTGTGTAAAATGCCTAAGTACTTGACATATCAATCAATCATGTAAAGTTTTATTATTGAAATTGGATAAGTTGTTTAATAGATGTAGTCTGGACAAACTTTTCTACAAATTTCAACCAGTTTTAGATAAGTTTTGTACACAATAAGTTGCCGAGGCTTGGTTACATTCCTTACTTTTTTAACTAAATAGAGCAACTTTAAGTTTTTCGAGAAAATAACAAACAAGAGGGCCATCTTGGCCCTCGATCGCTCACCTGCCCATTCAAACTCATCAGGCAAGCATCCTGACCAAGTTTGATGACAATTAAGTCAAAATTGTGACAAGAGTATTAACAAGGGTTCTCAATATTTGGACAGTGTGACCTAGCTTTTGACCCTAGGTGACACATATTTGAACTTGACCTAGAAGTCATCAAAACAAACTTTCAGACCAATTTCCAGGATATTTGGATCAAAACAGTAACCACTTGAGTGTTATCAAGATTTTTCTATTTTTAGCTCCTGTGACCTAGTTTTTCATCCGAGATGACCCATGTTCGAACATATCCAAGCAATTACCTAGACATGCATCCTGACAAAGTATGATGATGATTGAGGCAAAAAAGTGACCACTAGAGTGTTAACGAACAAATGTGGACGGATGACGGACATTCAACAATCCTAAAAGCTCACCCTGAGCAAGCTCAGGTGAGGTAAAAAAACCCGCAAGAAGTGTGCTGCTTTAATGAAAAGATGGGGGGATGACTAACTGATGCCTTAAGTATTAACTGAACCGCAAGAACACAACATCAATAGGAAGAGAAATGTATTTTTTAAGTTTATTTATCACTATTGCTTTTTTTAGAAAGATGTACAAAACATGGGTAGTGGATATCTGGATCATATGCATCTGTCCCTTTCTCCTTCATCTGTAAACAAAATGTACTTCATTACAAGTTATCAATCAAACAAAATGGTATATATCGTAATTACGATCAAGGAAAGTTTATGCCTCAAATAAATCAAATTATCTCCATTTCAAATGTATTTTAAAATAAATATGGTATCACTCATAATTTTGAAATAGAAAATGCAGGCTGAAACATAAACATAAAATGAACTTTGGAAAAAGGACTGCAAAATGTACTCCAAATTCCTTTAAGGTATGGAATATAACAAGTATTAAGACTGACAACTTATTTTCTATTTTTTGTTTGATAATACATGTATACAGTTCAGCTGAACTGTGATTAAAGCAGCCACTTAACCCTCAGCCTGCTTGGGGCGATTCTGAAAATGGTCTTTCCATTAGTTTATAGGCTAGGCAGCACTATTGTGCAGTCACATCAGACTCTGAATCACATTCTTTTGACTGCTTATCTTTTTGACATTTCAATATCAAAATATCAAATATCACCCTGGTTACCCATTAACAATGAATGATTCAAAATGCAATGCAGGGCAAGTCTATTATACAAATTAAACAGAGTGAGGATATAAACAATTTATCATGACATGTATCTACCAGTTTACTAGTTTCAAATAAAAGAGCATGATTTACCTTGCAATGTATATCCCAGATAGTGTCATCATAGTTTTCCTTCACCTCTGTATTAAATACTGCATCAGCAAGGGTTACAAATGCATCAAAAGTTTTTCCTCTCTTTGGAGCAAATAGGATAGCTTCACCCTTTAAAATATATAACTAGGTAATAACTTCTTACATGTTTATAGAAATTCATAGCGTATATTCATATTGAAGGAGTCACCTGTATATCTAAATAATTAGTACAATTGTTTACATAAGATTCCAGTAAGGTAAATGTTTGTTTAGGTGTCTCCATTTAAACTGATCATTGGTTAGGTTGAAGCAAAATACAAATTACTACATGTAGTAGGTAAGATAGAATAATTGTGACAATTCATGTTCCCTTAAATAAGTCAATGTTAAAGGAACTCCACTGAGGTCCAAAAAACCAAAAAAAATTTTTATAATTTCTTACATAGATCAAATGGGGTATTTAAAACAAAAAAGATACCTAAGAAATATACTCAGACTAAATTGAAAATCATATTTTTTGTGCAATTTCTAGCCCAGTATGAGTGAAAAGCATTGCATTTTTCACAATTAGAATAATTATTCTGGAAAAACAAAGACAGCTAATGATCTGAAATTGTGTACACACGTTATTGGTCTAGACCTACATCAAATGGAAAATGAATCTGAAAAAAATATTTCTAATCCTATCATATAAAAAAAACTCAGTGGAGTCCCTTTAACCTATAGAAACAATGAATACTCACATCCTGTTTTAATAATTTATAAATTAACTTGACCAGATCTTCTCTTCCCTCTTCAAAGAAAAAACTGAAAAAATACCAATATGCCATCAGCTGAAGGAGGAGCACATAAAAATCTATACATTGTACAAGCAATAGAGTCTAATGTTGCTTTTTTTAAAATATTGTATGAAAAATCTAGAATGTACATTTCTCTCCTTTTTATTTAAATAATTGCTATGATAATTAAAGGCCTAATATACCTCAGAAATGCTTTAACTTTTTATTTTAAAAAGCTTTCCTATAGAAATCATGATATGAAGATAAGGCGTGTGCACAAGAACTGATTTGTCAGACAGACACAAGGATGGAAATTGAAAAATAACAGTATAAATCACATAAACCATGGTGCAGGAGTGTAATAAATAGAGACTATTGAATAAGTGTAATTTCAAAGGTGAAATATAAATATAAACATAGCATTGATGTGTGCTAATGTTAGCATTACACTAATGAACAAGGGTGCCATAGGCACAAAATACGCCCGTTTACGAAAGCTTTAGATGGAGATGGGGGCATTATGGATAAGTGTTATCTAGCAAGCAAGTTTTTAGTCTTGGCACTGTGTTGTTAAATGAACCTTAAAACAAATCAGTAGGGAAGATATGCACAGGATGTGTGACCTTGACCTTGGTCGCAGGGACCTGAATTTTATGCACGGCACTCAGCCTCACAATGATGAACATTTGTGCCAAATTATATTGAAATCCCTCTATGCATGTAGAAGTTTTGCTCCAGACAAGCGTTTTTCTATGAGCTCTAACTGTGACCTTCACCTTTGACCTAGAGACTTGGTTCATGTGCAGGGCACTACGTCTCATGGTGGTGAACAATTCTATAAAGTAACATTAAAATTCCTCCATGCATGTAGAAAATATGCCCCGGACAACATCTGGATATTTAATCATCTCCAGTGACCTTGACCTTGCAAATATTAACCTAAATTAAATGTGTCACACCTGTAGTCATGATAGTTACCATTTGTGCTACAATCCATCAATAAATGATGACTAAATGGTCCCTATACACATCTTCAAATTTTTATCTGAACTTTGACCTCTATGTGTAACCTTGACTTTGGTCGCAGGGATCTGAATTTTGCGTGCGACACTCAGCCTCACAATGGTGAACATTTGTGCCAAGTTATATGAAATCCCCCTATGAATGTAGAAGTTTTGCTCCGGACAAGCCTTTTTCAATGAGCTCTAAGTGTGACCTTGACCTTTGACCTTGAGACCTGGATCATGCATGGAGCAATACATATCATGGTGGTGAACATTTCTATAAAGTATTATAAAAATTCTTCCATACATGTAGGAGATATGCTCCAGACAAAATCTGGATATTTCACCATCTTTAGTGACCTTGACCTTGCATATATTGACCTAAAGTACATGTGTCACAGCCGTAGTCATGATAATGATCATTTGTGTTACAATCCCTCAATAAATGATGATTAAATCGTCCCTATATACACATCTTCATATTTTTATCTAAACTTTGACCTCTATGTGTGACCTTGACCTTGGCTGCAGGGACCTGAATTTTGTGCGCGACACTCTGCCTCACAATGGTAAACATTTGTGCCAAGTTATATTGAAATCCCTCTATGCATGTGGAAGTTTTGCTCCGGACAAGCGTTTTTCAATGAGCTCTAAGTGTGACCTTGACCTTTGACCTAGAGACCTAGTTCATGTGCGTGACATGGCTTCTCATAATGGTGAACATTTCTATGAAATTTCATTAAAATCCCTCCATGCGTGTAGGAGATATGCTCCGGACAAAATCTGGATATTTCATCATCTTTAGTGACCTTGACCTTGTATATATTGACCTTAATTATATGTATCACAGCCATAGTCTTGATAATGACCATTTGTGTTACAATCCCCCAATAAATGATGACTAAATGGTCCATATACACATCTTCATATTTTTATCTGAACTTTGACCTCTATGTGTGACCTTGACCTTGGCCGCAAGGACCTGAATCTTGCACGCGACACTCCGCCTCACAATAGTGAACATTTGTGCCAAGTAATATTGAAATCCCTTTATTCATGTGGAAGTTTTGCTCCGGACAAGCATTTTTCAATGAGCTCTAAGTGTGACCTTGACCTTTGACCTAGAGACCTGGTTCATGTGCGCGACACTGCTCCTCATAGTGGTGAACATTTCTATGAAGTTTCATTAAAATCCCTCCATACATGTAGGAGATATGCTCCGGACAAAATTGGACGCCGCCCGCCGCCCATACGCCTGACCGCCCGCCTGCCAGGGGCGTTCCCATAATACGTCCCGTTTTTCAAACGGGCGTATAAAAATGACTCTTTTTTCAAAGTTTACCTTTCTTTATTTTATACATGTGATAAAAAGAATATTATATTTCTGCAGATTCAATACTAAATTTATTGAACTTGTTGTATACAAGCAATTATCATAGTATTGCAAGCAATCCATAAGTCCCCTACCGGTTAGAACCCCAGCAACATTCTGAAGGGCCATTGGCCATTCACTTATGTTTCTATTTAAGTAAATTTGTTGAAAAAGTTCTTTAAAAGTGATCACAGGGAAAACAGTTTTTATGTACAGACAGACAGACGACTGAAGGACACTCTAAAGTTACTCTAAAGTTTTTTTATTTTTTAAACATCCCTGTTATCAAAAATATAACATTTTTAAAAAAGCAAAATTTTTAAAAAGGAGATAACTCTTGAAATAAAGAGCAAGATGTCATACATCGATGTGAGTGTAACAAAGAACAATTAGTCATATGAAGGTAATGAAATAATGAATGTTTATTTTGAATTTGAAGTAAATGAAAGTTAAAAGAAACAAATAGAAAAAATTAAAAGTTTAAGGAGGAGATTATTCTGGAAATATGGATGCTAGATTTATAAACCTTGTCATAATTATTATTATAATGTGGTAGTTTGAAGAAAATCCTATCATGATTGAAGAAGTTGGAGTAAAAATTACCAATTTCTCAAACAAGAGGGCCATGATGGCCCTGAAGTCGCTCACCTGTATATAGGCCCCCGGAGCCAGTTTAAACCCCAGGGCTTTTATTTAAACAAACTTGGTAGACACCCATTAGAAGATGTTTCATGCTAAACATCTAAGGTCTAGCTGGTCAAGTTTTTTCTTACACATATAGTTAAAAACAATGACACACCTGAGGCAGGGCCAGTTTTGACCCAAGGGCTTTTATTTTAACAATCTTTGTAGACACTTAAAAGAAGGTTTCATGCTTAATATCTAAACTCTAGCTATTCGGGTTTTTTCAAAGAAGATTTTTAAGTTTTTGCTATACATATATAAGGAAAATCAATGTCCCCCGGGCGGGGCCAATTTTGACCCCAGGGCTTTTATTTGAACAAACTTTGTAGACACTCACTAGAAGATGCTTCGTGCTTAGTATCTAAACTCTAGCTATTTGGTTTGTTCAAAGAAGATTTTTTAAGTTTTTGCTTTACACATATAAGGAAAATCAATGACCCCTGGGGCTGGCCAATTTTGACCCCAGGGCTTTTATTTTGAACAAACTTGGTAGACATCCATTAGAACATGTTTCATGCTAAATATCTTAGCTCTAGCTCTTTGGGTTCTTTAAAAAGATTTTTTTAAGTTTTTACTATATGCATATAAGGGGAAAATCAATGAACCCCCTGGGGTGGGGACCAATTTTGACCCAGGACTTTTATTTGAACAAACTTGGTAGACACCCATTAGAAAATGTTCATATTTTAATATCTTTAGCTCTAGCTCTTTAGGTTCTTAATAGAAGATTTTTTAAGTTTTTTACTATATGCATATAGGGAAAATCAATGACCCCTGGGGCCGGGCCAATTTTGACCCAGGGCTTTTATTTGAACAAACTTGGTAGACACTCACTAGAAGATGTTTCATGCCAAATATCTAAGCTCTAGCTCTTTGGGTTTTTTAGAAGAAGATATTTAAAGTTTTTTCTTTTGGTTGCCATGGCAACCAGAGTTCTGCATGGAATTAAATTCTTTGAACAATTTTCAAAGGTGACCACCAAAGGAACATTCCTGTGAAGTTTGGATGACATTGGCTTAGTGGTTTATGAGGAGATGTCATTTAAAGTAAAAGTTTACGGACGACGGACAGACGGACGACGGATGAAAAGCGATCACCAAAGCTCACCCTGTCACTTGAGCTGAAAAAAGTCTAAGTTCAAAAGGGGCATAATTCTGGAAATAGTCTTGCTAGAGTATTGAACTTTCTCACAAATATTGAGTGATAATAAGAAACATTTATATGAAGTTTGAAGTAGATACATTCAGAAAAAAAGAAGTTATTAAAAAAAAAACAATATAAATATAATGATAAATTTTGTCCTAGAGTTGTAAACCTTATCACATATGATGTGGTTGATGACTAGCAACTTATATTTAAAGTTTGAAGAAAACTAGAATCAGAAATCTTGAAATCCAGTCTATTTGTTGCCATAGCAACCAGAATTTTCAACATAGGAAGATAAGAAAAGGATGTTCATAATTTCCATACTGCCATCTACCCATATGTCAAGTTTCATAAAAATATTTTCAATACTTTTTGCGGTATCACTGGATCCAGGCTATGTGTAAAATTTGCCATATTTTCAGTCTATTTGTTGCCATAGCAACCACAATTTTCCGCATAGGAAAAAAAGAAAAGGACGTGCATAATCTCCATAATGCCATCTATCCATATATCAAGTTTCATAAAAATATTTTCAGTACTTTTTGCGTTATCGCCGGATCCAGGTTATGTGTAAAATTTGCCATATTTTCAGTCTATTTGTTGCCATAGCAACCACTATTTTCAGCATAGGAAAAAAAGAAAAAGACGTGCATAATCTCCATAATGCCATCTATCCATATATTAAGTTTCATAAAAATATTTTCAGTACTTTTTGTGTTATCGCGGGATCCAGGTTATGTGTAAAATTTGCCATATTTTCAGTCTATTTGTTGCCATAGCAACCAGAATTTTCAGCATAGGAAGAAAAGAAAAAGACGTGCATAATCTCCATACTGCCATCTATCCATATATCAAGTTTTATTAAAGGGATACTCAGGCAAATTTATGGCAAAAATATCAAATTTATCTTTTGTACTCGAATCACACTAAAATGACATTTTTAAATGTCCCAGCAAGATTTTCTATAAATATTCTATATATTTTAGGTTTGAAGCGTAAAAATATCTATATATGTTGAAAGAAATTTTGACGCCGACAGAATCACCGAGTAGTTTTTAAACTAGTAATGTGACTTGAACAAACCATGGAAGTTACAATATTACATATATTGTAGATGTAGTATTATTGAAACAAACCTAAATCATTCATTTGACATGTTCTTTAACGTTTCCAGATATCACTGTAACAATTATTGTGAAATCTTAACGCTCTAACCTGACCCGCGTGGGTCAAGTTAGGAAACCACCATTTTATTCTTTACAAGGAGAAATGTTTTGTTCCTGTGACTGCCTAGTGTATTCATTTTGAGGACATTTACATAGAAATGAAAAAAAAATCAAAACGAAGAAATGAAAATTATGCCTGTGTATCCCTTTAAAATATTTTCAGTACTTTTTGCGTTATCGCGGGATCAAGTTTTGTGGACGGACGGACAGACGGATGGACGGACGGAGGGTAAACCTAAAGTCCCCTCCAGTAAACCGGTAGGGGACTAAAAACAATATTATGCGAGCCTCTGTTATGCTAGCCAGAGGCTCGCATAAAATTGTTTTATTCAACTTGTTCAATAAATTTAGTATTAAACCTACACTCATTCAATATCCTTTATTTCAATCAGTCTGAGGAACAGACATTCTTTAAATAAATGTAGGCTTATGTTTATAGCAGTTAAATTCTAAAGGTTTTAAATTCTGAAAAGTAGTAAAATCTCACCAATCAGCACACAATACATAGTCAAATACTTCAATCATGTCTTGATTTATTGTCTCACCTGGACCCCATCTTACCACACTGAAAAGAAACAACCATGTTTATATAAACACTTAAACATAAATGTCAAGCCAAATTTGAAGAAATGGCTTTGATGAATCCCATACAGACCACACACAACCATACAGATAATTGTTTCACACCCTAATAGCCAACCTCAGTGTAACAAAAAGGAAAAAACAGTCAAACTTGTGTAACAGTCTGCCTCCATAACATTATGGTATTTAAAAATATACTTTCTCATTTTTAATCATTTAATATTACCCTTTCTATAACAAATAGCTAGCTATTTTTCCAAATTGTCTTATTGGTCCACATTTTAGAGATTTTTTTTAAAATGAAAGCCATATGATATTCCAATGAAATTGAAAAATACATGACTTTTTGACATGTTAAAACTACTGAGAGACAATATATGCATGTGATAAGGTTAAAATTTGAAATTTCAAAGATTACGTGACATTTATATGATATTTCTGTGAAACTGAGAATACATGACATTTTTGTCATTTTGAAATTATGGAGACAATATTTTCATGTGGTAAGTTTAAAATTAGTAAGAATTTACTTACCTACTTGTCACCTTTGATTTGTTAAATTGAGATCTATTTTTAGCAATAATTTTATCGAGATCTGTAAAGAAAATATAGATTTACTTGCAATTATTTATATACAATTCGAAACATAATGTGTATGTAAAGCACAGTGCACCAGTCTCAAATTTGTTAACATTAAATTTTATTGCACTAAAATTTTCAAGAATTTTGAACACCTGACCTTGAAAGTCAAGGGCAGTCATGAGTTGAAGTCAAAGTGCAATATTTACTGATGCAGAGGCTTAAAAGACATTAAACAGAATCAAATAAAATATCTCATCTTTGGTACACATCAAGTTTTGATAAGAAATTTTCTTAAAATATAGTCAAACCTGTATTAAAGACCAGCTCTGAATTAAAGACCACCCTGATAATAAAGACTACTTTTTGGCAAACCGTCATTGAGAAAAATACAACTGATTAAACTCAAAATATGGTCTTTCCTTCAGATGACCTTTATTCACAGGTTTGGCTGTACAAATATTTTAGAAAATTGTAAAATCTGAATGTTTTTTTTTCATAGCAATTATCTGAAAAATACTGACAGACAGTTATAAAAGTATTTTTTTCATGTTTATTTTTTTTCCATATGTGTTTCTTTTTATTTAAAGACATCATTCAATTTCTGTCAAATTTAAAGTACAGTGTATGTCTGTGTAAAGAATTATTAGTAAATATAAATGACAGATATTATAAACACCTACTTGAAACAGAATCTTTATTTCCATCTGTTAATTCTGTATATGTCACATCTGACATAATACTCAACTGTCAAACAAACACAAGAAGAATTTACTGATAAAACATAAGCTATTTAAACAAATATTAACATATACAAAATGAACCTAATCCTTATCATGCTTAAGTTTTGCATTGGACTTTTCTAACTTTGAATTTAACTAGAAATGTGTCCATAGGACATGGGTGCCCCCACCGCGCCACTGTTCTGTCAATCTTATGACTCTAGGTCAAATATTTTTTGAAAACTAAAAATCTTTTACTAAGTAAAGGGCAATAACTCTAAAAATACTAAAAACATCCACACGAAAATACCTAGGTGCACAACTACACATGCTTATCAATATTCCTGTAAAGTTTCATGACTCTAGGTCAAATACTTTTTGAGTTACATGCGACACAAGTTGAAAATTGAAAAATTTTACTAAGTCAAGGGCATTAACTATAAAAATACTAAAAATATCCAGACGAAAATACCCAGGTGCACAACTACACATGCTTATCAACATTCCTGTAAAGTTTCATGACTCTAGGTCAAATACTTTTTGAGTTACATGCGACACAAGTTGAAAATTGCAAAATTTTACTAAGTCAAGGGCAATAACTCTAAAAATACTGAAAAAATTTCCAGACGAAAATACCCAGGTGCACAACTACACATGCTGATCAACATTCCTGTAAAGTTTCATGACTCTAGGTTAAATACTGTTGAGTTACATGCGACACAAGTTGAAAATTGCAAAATTTTAATAAGTCAAGGTCAATAACTCTAAAAATACTTAAAATATCCAGACGAAAATACACAGGTGCACAGCTACACATGCTGATCAACATTCTTGTAAAGTTTCATGACTCTAGGTCAAATACTTTTTGAGTTACGTGCGACACAAAAGAGAACGGACGGAGGGAAGGACGGACGGACGGACAAGGGTAAATCTAAATGCCCGCCACTAAAGTGGGGGCACAAAAATGAACCTGAGTGATGTAGGATTAAACAAAAAATCAAAATGTTAAAATTGAGCGAAAACTGTATATACATGTAGTATGGTCAGGTTGTCTGGTTGAGCAGACTGGCATTGTTCTATAATAGTGACATAAGCAAGTCAATATCCCCTAAACTGCTTATTTTCTTAGATGAAATGACTGGTTTTCATTTCTTTAGAGTTTCTGTTTCAAAGATACTGTGCCAACAGTATAGAGCCTGGTCAGTTCAGAAAGCTGTCTGGTTGTATACTGGTGGCGACAGATAATAACTTACGGTTCCGGCCAAGTAATAGGTTACAGCTGTGAACATTCAGTGTTACAAAATACTAGTTATTACTATATGAACACATACTTTGCCAAAGTGATGATACATCATACCTTTGATAAATATCTGAGTTTACAAATACACCATTTTTCTGTTTACATGATTGACAGGGATCTTAATATTCAAACCTGATTTTATTTTCTTTGAATATAGAAATCCTCATAGAAAAAGTTAAAACTATTAAAAGTGAAAGCTTTTCCTCTATGACTAAAGTTTTAATATAACAGTCTACCTAAGTGTACATTTATGTGGTGATTTTATAATTATGATGACTGTACATGTACTTACAGCCACTCCAGCTAGGCATGTCATACCTCCACCAAGTTCAATGACTGATTTTCCACTGTAAATAACAAAAAGAGGACAAATTATTACATTCTACTTCATTTAAGTGGTAATATAAATATAACTTACAAAATATGAGTGGTAATTTAAAGATAACAAAAACATGAAGACAAAATATCATGTCTCCTTTCAAAATTAACAGAGTTACAATAAAATGTCATATATTTTGAATATTAAACATTGTAAATCTGTCATTCACCTGTCAGAAGCATGCATATTTTAATGATGATAAAATAAAGCTTTTTATTCGATGTATAGAAATTGAGGGCTCTAGCTTCCAGTATTACAAAGATGTTTTGGTTGGGGTTAAATATTGTCAACATGCAAACAGACTAACAAACAAGACAAAATTGTGTCAATCTATAGACATTTATATCAACATTTTATTAGACTGACTCAGAAACCCAGTATGAAATCAATAGAGCACTATATTCTCTAAGGTACACTGATTTAAACCAGGTGGATAAGACAGTTACTGCATATAGTGAATAGACTTATCCCACAACTGTTACAACTTTACCCATAGCTTCATTAAAACATATACAAGTTACACAACATACTCTTTTTAATATACTGGTAGTTTTAACAAGTCACTTTATGTTCTCTGAAACATATAGTCCCTTCAGGGACCTTAATAAGTTACTCTTTTATTAACAAATTTCTATATAAGATTGATGCAGACTACACAATGCGCTTCCTTAACTCAATTTTAACAAGTCAGTGACTTGCAACACATACGTCTCCTACTAAAACTTTCCACTTCAAATATTGGTGTCAGACTAGTAATAAAAGGATTGCTGACCGCGTGGGTATGGGCAAGACGTTGTTTTCTTGAGCAAAAAACTTTACATTCATTGCTTAGTACTGGTTGGTTCCAGGAACAGACTCGAGAGTGTTTCAATAAGCTTATAGCTTCCAACACAATCAAACTAAAATAAATTTGTATAAACTAAATATTGGTTTGGGAAATAAAAGAAAGTTGATAAGGCATAAGATACTCACTTAAATATTTCAAGTTGATTTAAACAATAATATGTAAGTACTTCTTCTGATGGCCAAACACCTGCAAAAAAATAACAACAACACATAATAACAGATAATTATTAAACACGACAACAAATGACATAAAACTATATTGTAGACATTGTTTTATTTCTTTATGCAAACCTTAGTAAGTTCACAATGGGACAATTCAGTAAAAAAATAACCTTGCCAAAGTTATGGGCCTTACATACGATTATGAGTTTGCCACCCAAGGCCAAATACTAAAATTGGCTCACTAAACACACATTTTGGGTCATCATAACAGCTTGCTGCTAACCAGACTGATAAGTCATTGATGGAATATGCATTGTATTTTAGGCAGTTATAACTGCCTGTCTAGAGAAACTTGAAAAAAGAATACCTTTCATCATATTGTCAACCTTCACAGTTTTTTGTGCATTTATATAGAACAAAGAAAATACAATTCACAAAGTTACCCAAATTTTAGAAAGAGGTTTTAGTATTGATAGATATCATTTACATACCATTACACTATAATCCAGATGTTTACATATATATTTTGATAAACATATTCTAGAATTTAATAGAAATATATATTTTATGACTAATAAAGGGAAGTAATACAGATTTTGTTTTACAATTTAAATTTTGATTAACTCCCCTTTCAAGCTTAATGGTTGAAATTTCACATTTCTTACACAGGCACGAGTAAAGAACCTTGGGAGAAAATATGACCACATTGATAAAAATCCTCTGTGTTCATCTTAAATAAGCCAAAAACAAACAAAAAAGTGAAATAACCCCCTTAAAAATATACTATAAGAATTCATGGAACAGGAAAAACTGAATTGATGACACAAGTTGCTTCAACCCTAACCTTTAATAATGTGTTTGTGTAACAGATTTGTCCAGTTTTCACTTTGGGTTAGTCCGATATTAATGAAAGGGATTTTCTTATCAAAATTCTCAAAGCACCCAATAGTATATACATGCCCATTAGGCCATTATATATCATGGTTTAAAGCAAAAAAAAAAAAATAATAATAAATCTTTATGAACAATCTCAAAAGATATGAAATACTTATGTACTTACAAACATTTCCTGTATTGTTAAATCCTGTAAGGGCCTCTGGTTTTACATGGTCTGAAAGGTGACTGAAATAGAAGATCAGATTTAATTCACAAGCTATTATAATTGCAAATGTGTAAAATTCCAAGGTGTAAAATTTTAATCATATTTTACTTCTTATTTATCTTTAATACAGTTGACTCAACCTAAAACTCCTCTAAAATGTAAGAAATTGCTCCTAGAAAACAAAATATTCTGGTTAGTCAGCATGCCCTCGGACCTCTCTGAACATGTTCTGTCTTGGTGTTTTTTTTTTTCTTCAGGTCTGGCTACCACAATTCAATATACACATGATGGCTTGACTCTATATAATGGTGATGGCAAAGACTCATCAATATTGGTTCCAGCAGCCTCAGGGTTAAACATGCTATGATATTTCAATTCTTACCTAATAGACATCTTGAATTTTGGCCACCTGTCAGATGTGTAGAGAAACCAAGAATCATCATTTTCAGTTTTATCTTCTAGTTTGGTCTGGAGAAGATTAAAGGACTTGAACCTTCTAACAGATGCAGCATTCTCACTGGTTAGAAGTGCAGACCTTCCGCTGATGAGAATCTGTTTAAAATAGAATTATATGAAAGTATATATGGGAAAAAACCCAGTTAACACCTCTATTGACTAATGGGGATAAAATCCCCAACAGCATTTGAAATAAGCACTAGCAAATAAGCAAAAAAGTTTGAAAAAATAGAAGATTTAGTAAAAATTCCTAGTTTAGAGCTATTAGCCTACATGCTTGTTAATTTTAATCGGTTATCTTTTATATTAAAACTCTTGATTCCTAAATGGATCCTCTTATGCTCCATCATGTTGCAATTGGCTTAACCCAACAGAAAAGTTGCTGGACTTAAAATCTTTACTTACAAGCAGTATTCTTATTTTTTGAAAGCATTGAACAAATAATTAGAACAATGTTTTTCATGAATTTAACTACCAAAAACTTTCCCGATTCAGAGTCATGTCTGACTGATGATTTTGACCTCAAGAACTCTGAGACCTTTTTTTAATTATTTAAATAGCATTTGATACATCATGGATTGATCCCTATACCAATCAGCCTCTTATCAAATTGATCTGCCTTGGTTAGTAAATATTTACTTATAAACTTTTTTTACTATGTTTGACAGAATAAGCCTTATAATAATAAGGTGTACACCAACTCTAACCCCATAATTCATATCCCCTAAGATCGGATGCAGAGATGGACAGAGGGCAAATTTAAATGCACCCTCCCCCCATAGTAAGGGCATAAACATGAATTGTTGAAACGAAAAAAATACAGGTACTGATTTTAACGGACATTACTTGTGTGCCAGTTTTAATGTTTGTTATGCTTTGGAGTTTCTCTTTTAAAGAATGAAAATATTTAGTTATTTATTAGCATACTTGGCAGTACCAATTTTGACCCTAAAGTCATTGTCTGGTTTTTGGGCCACCCAAATGGCTTTCTTCAATAACTAACCAGTAACCACCAATTTTTCCACAACTGACTGACTACTAATTCCACATGATTTCTGAATCAAGATTTTTTTAATGTTTTTTTCCTATATAAAAATATGATTCCATGTAAAATCAAGTAATCTCTGGGATGAGTCCAATATTTACCCCAGTCATGATAAGAACCATCTTTATTGAATTGCATTAGACTATGCTACAATACATTCAAATTATCAAAGCTTTAACTTAAGCCTTGCAGTATTTTCTGATCACAGATAGCAATAAAATTGTCAATAAATGCACAAACACAAATTACGCGAATATCATTTTAATCAATGAAATTTGCCCGGTTATTTCCGTAAAGCTTCCTAAATAAACATTTGGTATTTAGACTTTCTGAAAAATAAAGTAAGGATGTTATGTTGACTCTAGGACAGGGACGAATATAGGGCAGCCGACGATCGATAATCAATTTTTACACCCGATAATTTAATCCTTTAATTTAATCGTTTACCTAAGACTTCAGAGCGTATTACACAAATAAATCTGACTGTCGAGTAGTGGAATATATACATGTCAGACTGTTTTGGCCAGAAGATTTTCGCTAAATTATTTACATCAGCTTTAAACAACAGGTTTATCGTGAACAAAATACCTCGAAATTATTTAGGATTACAAACCCTAAATGGAAATTCTAGATTTAGAATTATTTGATTTTATTCAAGCTTTCTTCATTTACTGGCATGCGAGCAGTTCCTGTACAAAAATCGTAGTTACTTAAAAATTATATTTCATTACGCTCACCAGGTACGTATGTTAATATATATACCTGCGCTCACTCATCAAAAAATTGAATGTTATGCATCAAAATTCAGCTCCTCACACAAGTTATGGAAATTCCATTATGTTCTAAACATAGAATAACCCTCAGTTATGGGGCCTCATATGGCCTCATATGGGGGTACCGAAATTATCTATTATTTTGTATTAATAGAAGTAGTTCCCGTACATAAAATAAAACCCATTATACTTATACAATGTTGTTTTATCAGCTGATTTTTCATTTATGATTGTTGAAGAGACCATTTTCCCAGAGGAAGATAAATGTAATTAAGGATAAAGAGAGTAGATTAAACAAAGACCACGTATTACCCGTTACCGGTACCCAACACAAACACATGCAATGACCTGCTTGTATGCGTGATATTTTACTCATTAAAGCCATAAATTTTTTAATATAGGTCAAAATTCTGATAGTTAATCAGGTTTTCATCGCATTGCTTACTTATCTGTATGCAGGCGGTGTAAGCGGAAAACCCTTTAATAGGCCTCACATGCAAGTATTGTTGCTCATGCGCGCAGAATCCCCCAAAGTTAATATGGTCACAAATTTTTTACAATGCACAGGTGAAAGTGGGTTTAAAATGAAAACCTTTTTTTTTTAAAGTTCCAAAACTTTACCGGGTTAAAAATTTTTGTTTCGTTTTATTTATCTGGGTTTTAATTTTTATTAAACAATTTTTTTAAAAAATGGGAAAAAGAACGAAAAAAAAAACGGGTATTTTTCCCGTAAAAGGAACTGCTCGCAAGCCAGTAACTAAAACCCCGTGGGGCAAGGGTGAAGTGCTATTTAAAGTTGTGGGGAGGGCCCCGGGGGTTTTAAAAACCCAGTCGAAGCAAACTATTTTTTAATGTGATAGTAATTAAAAAAATAAAAATTTTAAAACCCGGGAAAATTAAAATACAGATTTTACAGTACTTAAAATTTTGATTGGGAAAGATCAGAAAATACCAAAAAGAAACTTTTTCAGCCCTTTGGGTTTTTTTTCAGTTGCCATGTCCCCAAAATTTAAAACTGAAAAGGGGAAATTTTTTTGGGTTTTTTTTGGGGCAACTTTTAAAAAGAACTTCATCAAAAAACAATCCTGGCCCAAAATTAAAATCAACTTTAGCTTAAAATGGGGGAAACAAAAGAAGTTTTTTCTTTTTAAAACCCAACGAAATTTTTTTTTTTTTAAATTTTGAGTTTTGATTCGGGAAAATTTTTTTTTGGACGAATCGAAAAAAAAAAAAGCTTCAATAAACCCTTGGGCTTTTGCTTCCCCTGCCCCAATTTTAAAATGTTTAATGGAAAAAAACCTCTCTTTAAAAAAACTTTCATCCTTTGGGGAAAAGCAATAGAATCCCCCCCTTAAGTTTTTCGCCCTTCCCTTTTTCCGTTGGAATGTGGAAAATAAACTTTCTGGGTCCCCTAAAAAATTTTTCCCTATTTGGGGTTTTTGGTTTTTTTGTTATTTGGGAAATTTTAGCGGAAAGGAAAGGGAAATAAGGTAAAAAAAACCCAACTAAATATTTTTTTTCAAAAAAAATTTCCTTTACCCAAAGGGGGGTAACCACTGTAAAAAAAAAACGGGGAACAAGTTTAAAATAAAATTAAAAAAATTATTGTAAAAAAACTGTTTTTTCACTAAAAGAAAAGGGTTTAAATTTTTTTTTTTTTTGGGTTTTTTCTTTTGGGCCTTTTTTTTAAAAAAAAGAAAAAATAAAAAAAAAATACGGGTTTTTTTCCCAAAAAAAAACGGAAAAATTTAGAAATTTTTTTGACGGGAAAATTGACGAAAATTGGGCTTTTTTTTTAAAATTTTAATTGTTTTCCTTTTTAAAATAGAGTTTTACAGTAAAATTGCTGTTTGTAGACGTTATTATTAGAAACTAATGATATATATTATAATAAAAAAAACCAAATCATGATTAAATCGCCTTTTTTGGGGCCTTTATTTCTAAAACAAATCAGAGATTTTCCCCTTTCGCTTACTTTAAACAACGAAAGTGATTGTAAAAATAAAATAAGGTTTGAATTGAAAATCAACCTAATTTGCAGTTTGTAAACGTATATTATAAAAAATTAAAAAATTTACTTATACTGATAATTACGCCGAAAATTTGTATTTTTTAAAAATGAGCGAAAGGAAGATCAAAATTTTTTGTATAGAAATTATTTTCAAATAAAAAGGCGATTCAATCATCATAGTGAATTTATTTTTGAAAAGATTATTTTTTAGTTGCTAATAAATATACGTCTTTACAAAACAGAAAAATTCACTGTAAAAAAATTTTATTTAAAAGGGACAAAATTCAAATTTTAAAATCACTTTCGCTCACTTTCGTAAAATCTTCCCCTTTAGGGGAAATCGGATTGTCTAACAAAATCATTTTTTATTTCATTCACCACAAATATAAAATGCTTAAAAAAAAAGAATACAAGTTTTTGTCAAGTAGAAAATCATCCTGTTTCGTAACAAAAAGTATCCACTCCCTTTCATAAAAGTTAAGAAACTAGTTGTTAAAAAAATAGAGAAATACAGAATCCCTAAAAAGTCCAACGCGACAAAATTGAAATTGTTGCAGATTCGGTTTGATTGAGCATGTTCATGGACGGTACTGGAAAGTGCAAGTTACCGTCCACGCCCCTGGCACCGGCTTAAGCAGAATTCAACATTTTAACACGAAAAATGGTGAAATTTTGAATTTAGAGACATTCGCAGATGTGTTCATACGGCGATTATCATGGAACCTTCAATGTGACACAGTAGTGTCATTTCATGAAAGGCGGCGTATGGTTAAGTGTTAAGCCTTCAATAAGAAACGAACCCTCTCTGTCAAAACTTCAGAAACATCAAAATGATTATATCACATAACAGATGAATAAATTTGATGACAATAATTATATAGCTTAGGTTCGTCTACTTTGTGAATTGCTTAGTTCTATTGTACATAAGTATATGTGCATTAAAAAGTTATCCATATGGTAAACACAAATACTGTAGACTAACCATGGAGAAGTAGGCTGAGAAAATGAAGCCATGTAAAACACTGATATCACTCATGTATATAATTATCGTTAGAATGAAATTACACTCGTTTGCCTTCCCTGTACAAGTATATTTTAATGAGCATTTATGTACAGTATCTATAAACAAAACAGAGTTTTTGTTATAAAAATATTGAAAGGAATGTTAAATAGTATCTTTTACTAGAATTGACATCGCAAATTTACCTTTGTGAATTATATTTTATATTGGGTTATTAAATGATATCATTACACTAGAAAATTCTCATGAAATGTTCAATTTTAATATCAATTGACCTATAAACATTTAAATTTGTTTATGACATTTGATACAAAAACAATATTGTAATGTTAAAGGAAGAGAAAAACGGAATCCCTAAAGAACGTCCAACACGGCATTATTGAAAATTATTTTAAATATTGAGTCTCGGTTTAATTGAGCATGTTTAAGTCTCAAATTATTAGATGAATAATGCAGACAGCACCAACGGTGGTCACATCCTTCAAGTTGTACAACATGTCTGGTTTACTAACCTTGCAAACTCGGGTTAATTATAAACTCTAAGGTTTCAATTACAACAAAGAGCATTCACAATTTTAGACGACTTTTATTAATTTAAAATTACATTTCTCAAATATAGTTATTTTAGTTTATTACATTTCAAAATCTACTACAATCTATAAGTTCGACATGATTTACATAGTTTAGTATGAAAGCAAAGTTAAGTTATTTTAGTTTCTTATTTAACTGAATAGAAAACACTCCTGAGAAAATATAATAAAAATAGATTACTTATTCAAAATGAAACAAAAAAATAGCCCTACATTGGTAAAAATTGTGGCTTATCTCGTTGACTAGGTAAAAGCTACCTTGGCGTCCTTGAGGCAAAAGCAATTGAGAAGGTAAAAATCTCGTGCTAGAAAATAAAGGGAATAGGGGTAGTTTCAAATTAAACAATTAACTAAGAAAACATTATCAATCAATAAGAAAAAAAAAACAGAAAAGCGTAACATTAAATCGTTAATCTAGAAATGACCAAAACTTTAAGAGGACCAATCTTACGCTTGAAAAAATCATGGTTTTAAGTGAATCTGAAATGCTTTACCGTAAACAGAAGAAATTTAGAGAGAAAGTACTTTAATGAGTAAAAGATAAATAAAATTGTTTTAGAAATAATCAAAATCTGCCACAAAAAGCCGCCTTGCGTTATTGTGATCATCTCACATATTTTGCTAATTCTTATTTTAGAGGTCACTAAAGGAAATGAAATTAAATTAAATACATTTCTTCAAACAGATTATTCTCATGAAGAAAAACGTACTCTACCAACAATATTGGTTTAAAAGATTTCACATTGACCTTCATTGAAGTTTGCTAAACGTTTATCAACACCGTTTAGGGCCAACAGAGCAGAAAATAGAAACATCTTGTAACAAATAAACGGATCACTACCAATTAATTTAAGCACTTCAGATCTTCTGTTATCAAAATTATGTTGTTATACATGACTTTATAATATAAATATTACTGAATTGACCGAACATGGTCAATGTATATGGTCTGTCCCTAACTTCCAGAGCAAAACGTATGTTGGGTAGAATTATTTCTTTTATCTTTTCATAATGACAGAAAATAAAATAACAAATAATGATTTGGAATAAAATGAGATGTCATTACGGTTGCTTTTGAGTTATTTGCACTTAATGAAAAAAATAAGAAATTCTACAGAACAACAATTTTTCTTGAAAATTTCACGTTAGGTCGTGTTTTAACATGGAAAACGCAATTTTGGGTAATTTCAGGTATTTTCATCATTTTTTGTTAAAATTAAAAAATCTACAAAACAACAATTTTACTTCAAAATTACATGTTAGGCCATGTTTTAACATGGAAAATGCGATTTTGGGTAATTTTAGGTATTTTCATCATTTTCTGTTAACCCATTACCCGATATACACAACTTTAAAGCCTTTTTCACCCTCCCCTAATTTGTTGTCTCAAATGGTGAAAAAAATGCTTTATTTTAGCCCCCAACATTTGTTTTTGTTTGAGAAATGTTGTTTAAAAAGTGACCACTCATTCGGCGCCACCCCGTATCCATTAGATACATCAGGGGGTTTGGGGTTTGAGGGCAGCCCCCCTCATCGCCAAGAAAATATATGACTTGTGAGAGGCTAAAAATGACCCCAGGTCGATCATAAGATAACGTGTAACCAACACTGAAAAGCCTGTGACTCTATCTCAATCCATTGAGAAGTTGCAGCACTTTGAAATCAATTTTGATGGACAAAATGGTGATTTTTGGCAATTTTGAGATGTCTCCTCGTTACCATGGTAACAGGAAATTTAATACTGAGCATGTTGTAACAAATGGTCCAGTCAACATTTGTGCCAAGTTTGAGTAGTATTGTATCATTTTTTATAGTTTTATAGCAATTTGAAATTGTAACGGGAGACTTTTCAATGAAAACAGCCATTTTTCACAAAATGCTTAGGCAGTATAATGGGTTAAAATGACCGAGAAGTCAGAAAAAAAATGAAACTGACTTTCAGGGGTATGTAATTTGCTTCAATTATGATTTTCTTCAAGCATGCAAAATTTAAAAAGAAATATTCCCCGGTTTTATTTGCTTCTTTGTCTATGTATAAATTGAAGACACTATAGTGTACTGTGTATGTTAAGGCCGTTATTGGTCTAAATTTATACATTTTTTTACTGAAAATATAGGGGAATATATACATTATACCTAGAAAATTGAAAAGTCACGAAATTCACAATTGATTTAAACATATTTATGTAAGCTCGATTGTCAAACAAGTTATTGCAACTTATATGGTTCCACTTCCTGGAACCAACCAGTATTGGTGTTATATGAAGAAACATTAATTAGGGCTCGAATCTATATGATCCACGGGATGAGAGACAAACGTCTTAACCACAAGGCCACCGCTCCCTAGGTATTGTTTGTATGTCGGCTAAAATATGATAGTAATAATTACATGACTGTACGATCTATGGCCCGACAAACTCCTCGCAGTGATTACCTCCCTTGGCAGAATTGTAATCTACGCCGAAGAATTAAGGGGAGATCACTGTGTGGAGATTGATCGCCCGAGTGTTCTCAGCATTTGAAATATACGACGAAAATATTTAGTGGTTTATACCTATATGAAAAATGGTACGAATTTGCTTGAGTACGAATTATATTTGGTGCGATTTAATAAAAAATGTCTGAGCCAAAGAAGACGCAAGAACCAAGTTTGCTCAGCAAATTAATGAGGAGAGAGGTAACTGTTTTAAGAAGTGTATGCTGCATTTATTGTTTTTTTGTCTGCACGATCCATTTATTGGTAAAATATATGTAAAGTAAATTTATATTTGCATAAGCAAACAGCAATGTGAAATTATTTTTTGTGAACGAGTTGTCGTTCGTGGCTACTCTGTAGATATAATGGGTGATTATTTTTTAAATTTTAACTTCGCATGGTCAATTATTACTTTAATTATTTGCATTTTTTTAGTACATTGAAAATTATGACAAAACGTAAATTTGAAAGTGAAAAAAGTGTCCTAACAACTGTTTTTTCTCAAATTCAACAGTTCAAATGTCTATTGCCTATGTAACAGTATTGATAATTGAATGGTTCACTAATTATAGGAGCTTTTGTGTAAGCTGCCAGATAGCTCAGTCGGTAGAGCCGCAGTACAGTTTTCCAAGGGTCCTTGGTTAGTGTCCCTGTTAGTCCAACTAATTGTACTGCGCGACGAGATATTGTGCTATTTTCGTGTCTGGGCAATATCTCGCCTCTAAAAGCGAGATTCTGCCCCAGAACGAAAATATCTCAGAATCAAGCTTTGGCACGTCAATATATTTTGACTAGTGTCCCTGTCAGGTTGCATATTTTCACACACTTTGACACTACTCAGTGTTTTTTTTTCACTTTTGGGGGAAGGGGGTCGGTGCCCTTTGGAGGGGGAAAATGCAATAGGAGGGGGATTTTTATACGGATCTAAAATATTGACACATCACATGTTCAACTTGTTGGGACACAGGGAGAGGCTACCCTTACCTACATGGGAATGATTTGTAAACAACCTTGCTTAACAGTAAGTCTTACAGGCATAAAACTAAACATTTTTTGGCAGTTAGTTGAAAAAATTAATATTCATTGCAGGCAAATTCTGGCTGCCATATTATAGGGGGGAATTTCGGCTTTAAGTGGGGGGGGGAAACATACTGTTTTGAGGGGGAATCGGGAATGGGGCCGAATTTCGCCGAATATTTTGGTGAAAAAAAGAACACTGCTACTGGTTGGGGACCACCAACTGGACACTTTTTGAACATTTTTTCATACAGATTTCATAATTTTAAAGCTAGAGATCTGAAAATTTGACACAGTACAGCTAGGTTCTTCTCCTAACTGACCAACTAGTTTGTCTATTTCTAATTATGTTGACATCTGAGGCATGTGAAGGCGTGTATCAAAATTATCTAAATTGTCCACACTACAATTATGAATACCATGTGTCCTGACAGATATGTTCATGATGCTGATTTAATTCAATAAAAGCTTCAAAATGGTGTTTTAATTTTTTATTTTTAACATGATATAAAATATTTCAGCAGCAAATACTGAAGTTTTGGATATTCTATTATTTGATCTGCAAATGATTATACTTATAGCTAGTATAGGCGGTCAGGCATTGCACTATTGACATCCAAATTTTCAATGTCAACATTCTTGAAAAAGACATTAAAATATTACTGTTTACAAAATTGAAATAAATTTGATTACTTAATTATAGAACAAACATGCAGTTATTATTGATATAAAAGCAACTGATAGATTAACAACCACTGAACAAATAAAAAACTAAATCGGGCATTTTTTGGGCTGTACGGGTTTGGTGGTTGTCCAGTTTTGGTGGTCTCCAACCAGTATGCTTAGCAATACTTATATATTATATATCTTACAACCCATTACTGCGCTAGCCTGTTACTTGAGACACAAATGTGCCACATGATATTATAAACATAACACTAGATTGACCAAAATTTTACCTTGATCATTAAATCTAAACATCTATAACCATACATACAACATGTACATATACTATAACATTAAGATGCAATATGTATAATAAGTAAATTAAAGAAACAAATGTCATGAATGATATTCTTTCTAATATTACATTTTTTTGGAAAAATTAAGTACTGTGGTATCGAGGACACCATTCTACATGATAATGTTCTTGTCAATTATATACACAAGTTACACCTTCAATCTCAAAGATTAGTTGGGGCTTTGGCTTGGATTTTCAAACCCCATAAAACTTCCCTGCAGATAGTAAAATCCCTGCTGAAAGTCCAACACTGCAATTTGGACATATCACAAGCCATGTTGGTGCCGATTCAAATTCACCCCCTTAGACCTCATCCTGGCTGTGCAGAGACTGATGAAAAGTAAAAATTTGGATCAATTCAAAGTTTTCAGGGGTTTTTTTGTTGACATTTTGTAACTTTTACCCATGTAATTGTCTCGTGCATCAATGCCATTTCCATCGTCCAACGAACTAGTTTCTATGTTGCTGAAAAGAACAAAGATGCTGTTTCAATGCCCTTGTGTTGTTAGAATATGTGAGATTAAAAATTATGTTGGTATATTTCAGACTTATGGCTCAGATCAATGTCATAGAAAGGCAAGACCACAAAGGTTGTTCAAAAAGATTCCAAAAAGGCTTTGTTTCAGGTTGTCTGGACTGGTCTCACAGTCTGTCTTAGAGGAAGGGTATGTATATTTTATTAACTGTATTATTCATACATGAAAACAGCTATAAAAGAATTATATTGACCAAAGAGGTCTTGATTACTAAAATTAAGGGTAAAGTTTTGTATTACAAAATTCTTTGCTTGTAGAAAAGCAGGGCTCACCACCATGGTCGCCATTTGCGATCATTTTACAAAATTGGTGATTATTTTTCATTTTTGCTGCAGAAGTGGCGATTATTAATTAATTTATTAAGTCCAGTAGTGTTTATCTCTGTCACTTAGGACCCTGTAGTTTCTAACTTTCTTGGTACATTTAGTTACATGCTTTGATATTGACTTAAATCTAATAATAACATAAATCTAAGTTTATTTAATTAAAGAATGAAAAAATAAAATTTCAAGACATGGATAAAAAATAAAGAAAAATGTTGTTTATAATTTCAGACATGTTTTTCTTGGATTTACAAAGTGTGGACAGTTTGTTGTATCATATACATGTCAAATGGATGCAGAAGAGCAAAGTGGTTTGCCATTCTACATGTACAAATTACAATGGTGGTGGTTTGTCCCAAGTAAACCACTAGTAAAGGTAATTTATAAAGTTTATATCGCTTTCCTTCATACATTAATACAGTCATTATTGACTAAACCTTGCCCTGTAGAAATTTAAGTAATGGAGTCAGTGGACTAACCCTGCTTTAGATTTGAGTGGAAAATTGTGCATTTGAGGGATTTAAGTACATGTATAAAATACGTGTACATCAGACTTTGGTCTGGTCAGACAGTACAGATAGCTTTATGCTGGCTTGCATGGACCAGTAATTTTTTCTGCTATGTATAGTAAATATGATAATTAAATGAATTAAAAAAAGTTAAAAAAAATACTTAAGCCTTTTATTTCAAATGCTTATACCTATTGACTTGTCAACAATTTGATCCAGATGAATTTGAATTTGATACATTATCTACTCTATGGCATACACTTGATGTACAATATTGAAACCCTGGTTGACTTGAGACTGATTTGTTAACAAAGTTATTCTCATTCTTTTTAAATTTCCATCTTTAATGCTTCAGCTGTCTCTCTCAAACTCTGTTGTCTAGTGGATGTGTCAAAGTTGATTTTTACCTCTTTCTTACTGTTGATATATGTATAGTAAACTACAGGTTTGCTTACCTTGACCAAATTTAGATTGAATGCTTATATGGTTCTTGTATTCAGGTGTCAGAGGTCCAATTGTTTGGTGAGCAAGACATCTTACAGGATTTATATATATTGTTTTGTGAGTGGCCGGAAGACCACTCTATGGCACTAGTGTTTGGGCACAGGTAAACTAATATTATACACTACTTGCCTTCTTAATTTTTTACCTGCTTTCTGCTAGCTTGCATTTTGTCATATCTGTACCTTTAATTACTTTCACTCTTTCCCTCCTGCTGAACACTTACAATGGAATTGTTCTGCTTTGGAAAGTATTTGATTTTGTTATAGTGACATTGTTTAATTGTTAATCAACTCTACAATGTTTGATTTACTTTCATGTGAGAAAGCTTTCCAGCTAGCTTATAGAACATTGGTGGTTCTACTCAGGTGCCTGAAATAATGCACAGAAAGGCACTTGAGGTCTTCCTCAACCATTAAAGCTGGAAAGTTGCTGCACTGATTTCTACTGTGTTTGTGACCCCCCCCCCCCCACCCCAACCCACCAAATAAACAACAAAAAACAAATTGTTTAAGTATGATAACTTTATTGTACATAAAAATTTATTATATATGGCAATTATGTCTGGAAAGATTAATCATTTAGTACAAAAGATAAAAGATGTTGATGGATATGGTTATGCTGGAATGGATTATTATGTTTTATATTTTCAGTTTACCAAGCAGGGACCAAGAAAGTTGTCAGTGTTATCTGACATTAACATCATTTCCACCTCTCACACCATGTAAACCATGCAAGGAATTGCAATCTGGTAAGTGAAGTTTGTTTCAAGTTTCTGAAACACATCAGTGCAGTTTAATTCAAAAGTTCAACCTATCACTCATTAGGGTGAAAAGATACTGGCCTATGTATTGTTGAATGTAAAACTGATAAGGAACCCCACTTGTGTCTAAAGCCAGAAAACGTAAAACTTGAAAATCATGAACGATATGAAAAAAAGAAAAAAAAAGTAATACAGTGTTCGAAATTAGCAGTAGTCCTATAGCCCCTGACTACAAAATTTCTCCTCGGGCTACCAACTTTTCAAAGTAACAAGCCCGGCCAGGCTACTGTATTTTCAGAGGCAATATACATGTAAACTACTGTTTTAAACAAATGAATCAAGCTAGTGAAATGTCTTTTGGGCTTGTGAATATTCTAATCTGGTAGTCCGACCAGCCTAGTGGTTTCAAATCCGAATTTCTTACACTGGTAATATACCCAGAATAAATTGAAAATGAATATTTAGTAGGATTCAGGCCTTAAAAAGCCCTTGAAAAGTGCTTGAATTTAGTTGACAGATTCCTGTTTGAACCCTGCTTTTCATTTTAGTTTATTTTGCCAATAAAAATGATTATTCTGAGAAAACAATGATATTGAAATTAAGCAAATAGTGTAAACATCTAGAAAAACAACTTATTCCTTACATGTCAAAATAATTTCAGATGAGTCTCTTTTACTTTGTATTTGAACTACATCACACTATATTCTTTTAAAAATATGTCAGATGGTGGGTCTTTATTGATTGTGGTTGCTATATCAAGTTTTGCTAGTTATGTTGATTTTTTTTCACAAGAAGAATCTGGATAAATCACAGAAAGTTGATGGTTCTGGATTTATGATGTCTTTTTCCAAAGGCAATAAATAATGTTAAATAATTTAGCTGTGTTGTTCTGACTTGCAACGTAATAAGTATAAAGCAGATCTGTTTCAGGTTTGGTTTCATATTTCACTTACAATTTAGATGTTATTAAGCTGATGTTGTGGTAAACGGTTTGAATTTACATGTTGTTTTTTTTCAGGACCAGATGACAACACGATGTGTCTGAAGCACAGTTTCTGTTTTCACACAAAATACGAGCTTACACCACCATTTCCTGTCTTCACACCAAGAGTTCAGTTAAAATACGACGGTCAAGTCATTCTGAACACTGGAGATTCAATTGTTGCCCTCCACATAGACATGGACGGTATTGAAATCAACCCAAAGAGGTCAATTAATGAAAGTCCTTTAGTATTCAAAGCAAAGGAGAATGTAAACAGTGAAAAGAACAAGGAGATGGTGTGTACGTCTCCTGAACCGAATAAAGAATTTATTTGGAATGCTGGTGCTTTTTACACTTCTGTGCCTTTGAGTTTTGATGGTTGTGCTCAAGAGAAGCAGTTTAATGCTACAAATATGAAAAGTGAAGTCAGTAATGCAGCAGGAGGCGAAACCGTCTTCGGAGTTTGCCGGGAATCTCAGAAAGAAAATACATCGAGCAGCAAGACTGATATGACTGGTAGGCTGGATCGTCTCAAATGTCCCAAGTCGCCAAAAAATATGTTGTCTCAAAATCAAAGAAGTCCTATTCATCCGAGTGACAAATGGTTCGAGTGTCAAACACTGCCTAAACCTACCTCACCTTCACAAAATGTTCCATCCCAGTCAACTAGTCGTCGTGTACGTGCTGGCACCAGCACCACAGACATACATATGTCAAAAGACTTGTACAATTTTGACTCGGATGATAGTGAAGATAACAGCTATAGTTTTATGTGTCCCAGCGTGCCAAAAGTAGCTGTGAAAACTAAAAGTACAGGTGGAGCGGAGGTACTTTCTCATCCCCATAATCTTGTGATATCACCAAGTGTTCATTTACAACGACAGTTTGCATTTAGTGGAAACAAAGCTAGTCCATTACTCAATAATAGTCAAGCACTGAACTGCCCCATCAATAACGAAAGTCCGAGACAAACTTTAGAGTATGTTTTAGCCGCTCGTGGAATTCAGAGATCATTTTTCTCTCCAAGCAACAGTGAGAATAGTTTCGGAGGCACAAGTAGTAGTGCTGATAGTGTCATTGTTCAAATAAATGATGCAAGAACTGTAACTCATTCCTGGAGAAAATTTTCATATCATGGTGATACAGCTGTTGACTCAACACTTGTTATAGAAGGTAGGTCTGGCATATTCTTGTGTTTATCACCATCTTGAACATATCTTTATTTAGGAACAGTTTATGTATATGTTTTAATTGAAACTACATTCTTTTTTTCTTATGTACAATAACATGTATATTTCTTTCCATTGTATATAACTTTTTTTGAACTAAAATCATTCTCCAAATATTTTTGGTAGTTAATGGTTGTTAAAATACAATATATTTTAAGTTAAAAAGAATATACTTTATGTTTGTACATATTTTGGAAGATTTTTATTTTTGAGTATGGAATTTAATTAAAGTTATATTGAAGACAATACTTCACTTTGTAATAATATCAGATTTTTTTTTTGGTTCTGTTGATTAAATGTTGAAGTTGTTAATGAACAAATAAAGATGTCAATATTAAATTCTTTCAGATGATTTTGACTTGACATATAGGAGTGTTTTACCTGCAGAGATTCGGGGTACAAAAAATCGGAAATTAGCACTTAGTCTTGATCCTTGTAATGATGGAAATAAGGTAAGTTATTAAACTATTTACTTACTTATATTGTAAGAATAGTCTTTAATTTATGCACACAATTCTTTCACGTTATATGCATAATGTTCAGCGATGTAACCAATGGCTTTTAGCTCCTGAAATCACAAGCTAACAACTTTAAGATCCACAGTTTGCTTCTGTTACCACATTTAATACCTACCCGGACCATACTTGCCTCATTTCACAATATTCTCTACCACTTTAAAAAAGCACCGATTGACACTTTCTCAAAAAATTTCAGAAGAAAAAAATACTCTTCATAAATACAAGGGTACCATTATGTTTTTTTTTTGTTTTTTTTTCAGGAACAAATATGTGTAAAGCAAATGACATTTGACATAGAACACTACATGGAGGAAGCAATAAGAGGAACGGCCAAATGGTCAGACAGATATATAGCATTTACCAACTATGATCTTCAAATACTTGATGTAAGATCAAATTGCCTTAATTCTTACCATTCTGGAACCAAATGTTATGAGTGATAAGCTAGTGTGCAGTCAGACCAGGCTATATACGTTTGGAATATAACATTAAAATTTTCATCTAATATTGATTATTCTCAAAATTTATAATGGACAGTCCCAAAAATGAAAGCTGGTCAAGTCATGTTAAGATACTCAATTGGCTCAGCTTTAATCTTGAGAAATCTTGCAGTATTAATATTATTGATATCATGCAATTTATTTTGCCTTTGAAATAAACAGGCATTTTGTGGTTTTTTCCAGGTAAACACCGATAGACCTGAAGTTTTAGCAAAGGTTTTTGCTTTGATTTCTGCAAAGGAAGACAACAAACAGAAGAAGTTCTACAGGAAAAGGTACCATACATGTATTTGTCTTCTTTGAAAATAGTTTCAACATGTCTTAAATTAATACATTGCTTTGCTGCAATATGAGATAAATTGCATGTAGGTTTTAGTTCGGAATTCCAAGTGGTAAACATGAAGTTTCAACCATTGACTGACAATTGGATTTAAATAAATGTGTAATGTGTTTATGTTCATTTTTTGATGCATAATTGAATTTTTTTAGTCCTGAGTTAGTAGAAGGGTAAAAGGTTGAGTATGTTTTCTAAAGAAATTGTTGTATTATATTTTAGTAAAGGACAAGAGAAGATGTATCAGACCAGTTTTATATTTGAAGTAAATGTTCAGTCAGGTAAGATGTTATTTAAAACAGTGTCCGATTTTAATTATCAACAGTCAGAAAATTAGACAGACAGCATATATTTTGAATGAAGAATTCGAAATCATTTAGGCTTATGGAAATATAAGTAATTAGCGCTTTCCATCAGTATAAAGCCAGGTTATCCTGCACATCTGTGTAATTTGATCAGGTTCTATACTGTGGGCTAACTGTAAGGTTTCATCTTGATATCCCTAAAATTGATAATGGACAGTCCCAAAACGTCAAATTAAGAAATTCAGTAAATTAAGGTTTAAAGTTAAATTGTATGGTATCTGTGCTGTAACAAGCATACTAACTTTCTGAAAAGGTGCAAACAGAGTCAAGAAATTATATACTAATTGGTTGCTGGTATAGATGGTATTAATTGGCTGGTAACTGTGGTAACAAGGCTGTTACATCATTCAAAGCATACAACTGGTTCTATAAATATAGCTGACATTTCCATCACTGTTGTAAACACTAGAGAATTTTGTCTTTTATGCAAAAAGTAGTTCCTCTAGCCTGTGTGAATTGCACTAATGCATTAATAATGACAAAAGTGTCTTTCAATTTCAGGTGCTTATGAAACACTGTTGATAGATGATCTAAAGGAAATGGATGAAAAATATCTACGCAAGTGAGTGATACATGTATATACTGTAGTACTAATGATTGTGTTTGATGCTTAAATTTAGTTGACCCTAACTCTGTAGAAATTTTGGTATGAACTTACTCTGCCTTAATTTTAGAACAGTCTATTAGTAGTTTCAAGGACATTGTATCAAAATATAAAATAATAGAGAAGGCACAAGTATTTGGTCAAATGTACATGCTTGGATGTTTTTTATATTGATAGCTCAAGTCTGTTATTTTTTTTAAGCATTCAAAGAATTATTATGTGATATATTTTTCTACTCTGCTCTTCAAGTCTTTCTTTTATACAAGTGTAATGTGCTGCTGTGAATTTGTACCTGTCACCTATTGGGTGATTCTTAATCATATACAAAAATTGAACAGTCACTGCATAGATAAAAAGGCACTGTTGACAGTCACACAGACATGTCCTGTTTGCTGCAAATGCTCTTGAAATTTATTTATTTTAACTCTGATCTATTTTATTGTACAAATCTTAATCATTCATTCTGTGCATAAATGTTTTTTGTTGTAACAGGCCTTTTTAGTTTGACTTTTTAAAGAATAACACGAGCTATTGTATTGACGTCACACTTTGGTTAAGGTTTTGTATGCAAGTTGGTATCTCAAACACCACTGAAGGGAATTGGTTGAAAATTCACAAACTTATTCTCTACGATTTATTCTCTAACACGACAAGCATTATGCCCCCTTTTCTTATTGTCAAGCACTGAGAATAGTCTGGCGTTTTGTCTTGCGGACAGTTCTTGTTTATAAATTAAATTATTCCTTCTTGTAGTAAGGAGTGGAAGCCAGGATTTGAGGAGTGTGCATTGTTAAGGCGGCATGGATATATTCCACAGTCTTCAAGAAGTGTACATGTTCTTTCCAACGAGTCTGTGTTCAAAGGTAGGTCTTACCATTATGTATATATTTTTTTGAAAATTTGGATGATCAACTTCTGTAGATGACAACTAGACATCATTTCTTATTATTGTATTATTTCAACTCTAAACTAGACCTATCACTGAAGGTGATCAATACCCCCACCAACAACTTTGACTTTTGAAAAATTAGTGGTCTGAAGAAAAATTTAAACTCAATCTACAGTAAATAAAGTATCAACAGCACTGTGTACAAAGAATTATTTCAATTTATTGCAATCCCAACCAGGATCTTGATATAAGCTTGCTATACACCAAGTTTGATTACAATATCTCATTCCTAACCCTAGTAATTGTCCGGAAACCATTTTTTCATTTTTAGTAACCATGACCTTGACCCCAGGGGATCCAAGTGCACTACCAAGGGCGGTCTTCATGTTAGCTTGCTAAACACCAAGTTTGATTACAATATCTCATTCCTAACTCTAGTTATTGTCCGGAAACCATTTTTCTATTTTTAGAAACGGTTATCTCTACTCTAGTTATTGTCCGGAAACCATTTTTCTATTTTTAGAAACGGTGACCTTGACCTTGGCCTGAGGGGGGCCAAATGCAATACCAACCGGGTCTCCACATAAGCTTGCTATACACCAAGTTTGATTCCAATATCTCATTCCTAACTAGTAATTGTCCGGAAACCATTTTCCTATTTTTAGTAACTGTGATCATGACCATGACCCAAGAGGGCCCAAATGCAATACCATTCGCTGTCTTCATGTAAGCTTGCTATACACCAAGTTTGATTACAATATCTCATTCCTAACTAGTTATTTTCCGGAAACCATTTTTCTATTTTTAGTAGCGGTGACCTTGACTCCAGGGGGTCTAGATGCAATACCAACCAGGGTATTCATGTAAGCTTGCTATATACCAAGTTTAATTACAATATCTCATTCCTAGCTTTAGTTATTGTCCGGAAACCATTTTTCTATGTTTAGTAACAGTGACCTTGACCCCAGATGCAATACCAACCGGGGTATTCATGTAAGCTATCTATATACCAAGTTTGATTACAACATCTCATTCCTAACTTTAGTTATTGTCCGGAAACCATTTTTCTATTTTTAGTAACGGTGACCTTGACCCCAGGGGGTCCAAATGCAATACCAACCGGAGGTTTCCACATAAGGTTGCTATATACCAAGTTTGATTACAATACCTCACTCCAAACTTTAGTTATCGTCCGGAAACCATGATGTGGACCGACCGACCGACAAGCTGACTCTTATATACCCCCCCTAAACTTCGTTTGTGGGGGTATTATAACTCGAGGAACAAAATTAATTTTTACACCATGACTTTTATTTGAAAATTTTAGCTACTTGTTGGAGCATTTTGTCTTAAAAATGTGATTTAGAGTAATTGAGATGAAAGTACAGATTTGCTTAAAAGTTTTAATGATAGTTAACATTTTTTTTTTTTCTTTTCTTTTAGGTAAATCATTACAGATGATTCTTTTTCCTGAGCAGTACACAGCAATTATCCTGTAGAAATAGGGACAGCCATTATCCTGTAGAAATATGAACAGAAATGTTACTGTGAAAATGTTAACGGCAAATATACTGTAGAAATATGGACAGCCATTATTCTGTACAAATATGAACAGAAATTTTACTGTAGAAATGTAATCAGCAAGCAATAGTCCTCAAGAAATATGAACGGTAATAATGAAGAAATTTTGGCATGAATTTCATGTACAGATGAATGGAAAGTTGTCAGCCAAAACTGCCTGTTCTTTAAAGAAATAAGAAAAATCATAAACTTTAGCTTCATTTATAGCTGAATCCAATTTATTGTTGTGTTGGTCGTAATTCTTGATATAGTGCGACAATTTTAAAAGTTGTAATTTTTAGTGACTTGTGTAAAAAACTATTTAATAAAACGAAGAAATCGCTGCAAGTCTTTTAATACATTGTCTTACACAACCTAGCAAGCATTCAATGTCTACAAATGACATTTATCGCAGTTAAAAAAATGCACAATTGTTCCATTAACTTGTTCATGCCACCATTATGGTAACATACAAATTGGTACATTTGTGCAAGTCTGAGAAGACTCAAATCCTGGTGGCTGCTTTGATTTAAATGTTTTTTATATTAAATCCCTTATACTATGATTGCTCAGTTCCAAACTAATGCATAGCAATGCATATGTTATCTCTACAACAAATGCACAATAAAATTTAATATTACAATATCCTCCAAAGTCACAAAATTTATTTCATTGATCCAATTAAAAAACATATTTCAAATTAATGTACAGACTGTATATCATTAATTCCTGTGTGTAGTTAATGCTCTATGGCACAACTGTCATTAAGTACTATGTACTTTTTATATTTTCCACTTACTCAGAAACAACGATTGTTTCAAATGTCCTTTACTTACAGAACATCTTAATAAGACTGATGTAAGTAGCTTCCAGTCAACTGGTTCTTTTACAATAAATAAATAAACTGCTAAGAATTACACAGAAGAATCTACCACACTTTATAAAAGTCTTATAAACTAATTTAATTTTGTACTGTGTGCAATTAAAGTTGATTTAGTAGTTGAACAGTGATTGGAGATTGTTAACATATTTGCCTACACGCTGGGTCAAAGTAACATGAAACAAATATGGTGGTTTCAACAAAAACAGTGTCACTAACGTAACAAATATCTTTAAACAACACTGCTAGATTCTAAGTAGAACAAGTAGCTATTGAACGTCCTTTTAGCAACGACCATTTCCATCCATATTCTTTCAAAGCAAGATCAAACTTGTATCTATGGTAAAAGTTATTGCAAGTTCTTATGTGTAATTGTTTGCCATCTCGTACACAGCACCAAGTAGGAACTGTAATTGTTTATCTGTAGATACTGGAGATAGTGTGTCACATGTGAGCATTGATTGGAAGTCTGGTAGAAGAGATGAAGGTTCGCAACCTGAAATAACAAAAATAATTTAATTTAATCTCCCTTAACCTGTTTTTATGTAATGAACTTCGGTATCAATACACAAAATTTGAGCTACCATTAATATAGAGCCTGGTCAGACTACTTGAATGTGCAGTCTGGCCTGGCTCTATACTGGTGGCAGAGGCTAAATACTTTAAAGATGGTTAGCTGTATGGGTACAAACCCTGTTACTGGGAGAGAAAGCTGTTGTTTCCTTTAGCAAGAAACTTTAAACTCATTGCTTAGAACTTGCTGGTTCCAGGAACAGATTCTAGTGTATGTCTATAAGCTGAAAACAATATTTTAAATATATGCGCTTTTTGTTGTGTGTTTTTTTTTTAAATGTTAACACTGAACATAAAACATAGATTCACATTTATCCATTCTAACGTATTTAACAATACATGTTAATACAATAATTTAGAACAAGAGTATTACCATCTGTTACAGCAAGTTCAATTGTCTTGAAGAATATTGTATCTCTTATACTGTCTATAGGATCACCTGTCGCAGTGTGTGTCCATCTGTAATACATGATAATAACTTCAGATCATGTCCATTCATATTTCCAATAAAAGTATTTGTTGTGTTTAAGTCAATCTGACATTAAGAAGGCCATAAACTGACTTTCAAGCTATATTAATGGTGGAAAACCTCGGGTTCTCTTCTATGCTTTATTCAGGCATGAGGTGGCACATGACTAGAACTACCAACTCTCTGTAAGCTAGCTGAATAGTTTCCCCATAATAAAGAATCAAGTCCCTGATGGAAATTATGCTAGAAGTTTAATCCTTGCAACACATACAGATTAGCAAGCCCCTAAATACATGCTCATATTTTTATGAAAGTCCGAGTTCTAGCTATCATAACCTTTGTCTAGTATATACATAAAATAATTTAAACAAGTCTTATGCACTAGAAATCCACAATCCAATATGTAAAACCATGCAAAAATAGCTCTTGTTTTGCAAGTGTAACTTAGATTGGGAATTATTTCAGAGTATTTATTATTTTTCTTTCTTTTTATATCTTTTCTGGAATTCTTATTTGGACGATTATAATAACTGGCAGTGTGCAACTCCAAAATAAATTATTTTAATGAAAACAACTACATAAATATCTATCTACTTAAACAAATTGCTGTTAAGTATATAAACAATAATGATTGTACTTACATTGCTTTGTCTCTAAGAATAGCTTTACACCATATACTTATTCTAATAGTTTCATAGTCAATGGCTGGATCATCCTGTAAGAAAGGTAATGAACTTAAATAGGGATGGTAACAAGGGGCAAAACTGACAAGTTATCTCTAGATTAGTTTATACAAATTTATTTTAGTTCGATTGTGTTGGAAGCTATAAATAAGCTTATTGAAACACTCCTGAAACCAACCAGTACTAAGCAATGAATGTAAAGTTTCTTGCTCAAGGAAACAACGGCTTGCCCCTTGACAGGGTTGAACCCACGTGGTCAGCAATCCTTAGATTACTAGTCCAACGCGTTGACCACTCGGCCACACCGCCATATATCTCTAGATTAAAATATGTAACAATGCTTGCCCCTCTGAAATTTTACTAAAATGTTTTTTAAGACAATGGGGCTTCAACTTTTACTGAATTGTTTGTTTTCATGCTTCTATATATTTATATTTTACAAAATATATCAACTATGAGAATTTTTTTTTCCAAATACATAAAGTAAGTCATTTTAATGTAAACCTTACATTTTAATAGTAATTATTGTGCAACATCATGTATTGAGGAGCAAATATTTGCTGAATATTTAATGTCTAAACTAACAAGTGGCAGCCTAGCCAAGTGGTTAACATGTCAGACTAATAATGTAAAGGCTGCTGGCCACATGATACAAACCCGTGTCAGGGGCAAGCTGTTGCTTCCTTGAGCAAGAAACTTAACACTCATTGCTAATCATTGGTTGGTTCAAGGTGTTTCAATAAGCTGATAGCTACCGACGCAATCAAACTGAAATGAATCATCTATAATCTTGACTAACAGAACAGGCTAGAGAAAATATACTGACTTGATTGAGAAACTGCAAGAGATCAAGGGCTTTCTTGAAGTCATATTCTGTTGCTGAAGTGTTTTCGTCACAGATGTATAACTGAAGGATTAAAATAAATTGTTCAACTGTTGGTTTTAATGCTACCAGCCATGCCATAGCTTGAAATATTACTAAGAAAGAACGGACAGGCCCAATTTCATAGTAGGTCATGTCCCTTGCACAAAATTAACACTGCAAGGTTTAAATTCAAAAATACTAACAAAGCATTCTACACTTTGAAAAAAAAAACAACATTAAATTATACATTTTGCATCTTAACTAATTAATTTTCAACCTATAATGTACAATATTTAAATAATACTACAGAGGGAAGTTATTTATCTTAACACACATGTACACAATGATGTGCTTCTACAAACATTCTTTCAAGGTTAGTAAATTCTTTGTGTATCTGCATGAGAATAAAATCTCACTTTAAAAAGAGCAAGATAATCTAATTTGTCATTTTTACATCATAACATCAAACACAACATACCTGTAATAACTCTAATGGAGTTAAAACTTTCATATGATCAGCATCAACATTCATTGTCTACAAAAAACAATACATATAAGCATGAAAAATCCTTTCTTACAAAATTAAGCATATGTTTTCTATGCTGGTTGGTTCGAGAGTGTTTAATGAGTTTATTTTTTTGGTAAGGTATTACATTGTACCAACACAGTATAGTACATAAGGCGACTTTCCAGCTTTACTGGTAGAGCAAAGACCTTGGGTGCCTTTCTGTGCTTTATTTTAGGCATGAATGTGCATCTGAGTAGAAACAACAATGTTCTGTAAGCTAGCTTCCTCACATGAAATTTTTTTTCAAGTCCTTGTTGGGATTCAAACCCCAAGTGGTGAGGGGCAAGTGGTTAACATTAGGCATACACACACATCTTGTGTTTTGTTGACATACAGTGATCCCTAAGCCTCATTAATCATAGAATTGAGAAACCATTATTTTGTCTATAAAATTAAACAAAGTGTGAATTTAAGTGTGTTTCTGTCAAGAGTAGAGGTATTACCTGTAATAACTCTGTAGGAAGTAACTCTTGATTTAATATCAGTTCTTGTTCATCATCTATATCTGAAAATGACAATAATAACACACATTTTTATCAACAATATTTCTCTTCAATTTAGTTTCTTTTATCCAACACAACCTAATTTTAAATTTTCCAAATCATTCTTATCCAATAGAGAGCTATAAAATCTTTTGCATTACCTTAAAACATGAAGAAAAAAAAAAGATTAAGTCACAGATACACAGCATCTCAGTTCAAATGTCAAAAAAGAGAAGAAGAATAAAGAACAAAAAAGTTGTACTTATACTTCACATTTTAGGGCAACTGGTTTAAAATTCTAAAAGACAAAGACATTTACCACTTATATTAGTTTTAAGCTGCTCGTCTGCATCACCATGAGCCAACGCTGCAAGCTTAGCAAGACTTAACAGGGTCTGAAATATTAAAGGAACAATAAACAAACTTTACAGATAAAAGTTAAAGCTGCATGCCTCCAGATGATCCAAAATATTTCAAGACAATCAAACTTGGGAAAATTGTTCCAAGATTTTAAAAAAAAAGTCCCAAGATTCAAGTTAATGAAATTTTCATGTTATGTGCAATTATTAACTGATTTTGCAGTGATTCACCATATTGCTACTGCGTGACAAACACAGTAAGGGCTATTTTTGTATATTTTGACCAATTTTTGGTAACTTATGTGCACTGGAAGTGCCGTTTGTAAAGTGTTAATTACTTTTTTCCACTTCACAATATTATAGTTATAAATAAATTTTTATATGAATTAGCATGAATCTGGAGGCATGCTGCTTTAAAAATGTAAATACAGTAAGTCATTTAATTATCATCATCAAACATTGAACTATCATAGTTCTACAACTTCCATAATCATTCACATATTATGCAGTTTCTGTTATTTTTTTCAGTATATTATAAACATTTCTCTGCCAGCCCTACTTTAATTTGTATTTTACAGTATAACAATGGCAGAGATCTCTGTGGAGCATTTATCTCTTAACAACAAAAGTAATAGTGAACCTTTACAATAAATTCAAAACAAGAGCTGTCACAGGAGACAGCGAAGCTCGACTAATAAAATACTGGACGCAGTAAGGAGGACAAAACTATGAAAGAAAAATCAATTATGTATAATTATGTATTGAGTTATAGTAAAAAAAAAATTGTTAACATAAATTCCAAGATCAAGGGGAATAATTCTAGAAATAGTCACACTAGAGTTATGAACCTTGTCACACAACATGTGTGTAATGATAAGAAATATATATTTGAAGTTTGAAGTAGATACCTTAAAAAGTAAATAAGTTATAATATTTCTTAAAGAAAATCCTAAGTTAAATCTTTAAATATTGCTTCAAGAATTATGAACATTGTCACATAAAATGTAATTGATGATAAAGAATAAGTATTTGAAGTTTGAGGTAGATACAAATGTACCTTTAAATCTAAAAAAGTTATAGTAAAAAATAATATTTTTTAAGAAAAATTCTAAGTTCAAGGGGAGATAAATCTGAAAATATTGGTGCTAGAGTTATGAACCTTGTCACATAAGATGGGGATGATGACAAGGTACATATATTTGAAGTATGAGGTTGATCCTTTAACAAATAAAGAAGTAACAGTAAAAAATAGTATTTTTTTGAGGAAAATTCTAAGTTCAAGGGGAGATAAATCTGAAAGTATTGGTGCTAGAGTTATGAACCTTGTCACATAAGATGGGGATGATGATAAGATACATATATTTGAAGTATGAGGTTGATCCCTTAACAAATAAAGAAGTAACAGTAAAAAATAGTATTTTTTGAGGAAAATTCTAAGTTCAAGGGGAGATAAATCTGAAAATATTGGTGCTAGAGTTAAGAACCTTGTCACATAAGATGTGGTTGATGATAAGGAACATATATTTGAAGTTTGAAGTTGATACCTTAAGAAATGACAAAGTTATAGTGAAAAATATTTTACTGCACCAAAACTTTAATCTGAAATCTGGACGCGGATGCCGACGCCGGGGCGAGTAGGACAGCTCTCCATATACTTCGTATAGTCGAGCTAATAATCTAGAGCTACATCACTCAACAGCAATCATTTTTTTTGGTCTCCTATCGAGTGTTGCACTGCATATGTTGTACTGTACATGTTATGTTCAATAATTATCACCCAAATAACACCTGCTGAAAACTGACAAATACTTCCCTATATTGATCAAAAAATTCCATCAGATAAAAACAAAAATCCATAGTTGTGAAAAACTATGATTTGAACTGTGAAAGCTATTGATTTCTCAATAAAGAATTACCTTCTTTTTAGCTAGATATTCTTCTTCATTCCTACCAAGATTTAATAATGTATTGTGAGCCTGAAAAAATAAAAACATAAACATGTTATATACTGCTTAATTAATTCCACGTCCTTAGTATGTGTACCTTTACAGCTTTCTTTCATTTCATAGGACAACTTTACATCATGATTGTAGAATTACTTCTGTGTTAAACAAGAACGTGTTTGTTAAACACAAATGACCCCGGCTCAGATTTTTGTCAGTAGCAATATTTCAAAAAAAAGTTTACCCATTCACTCAGTCATGGACAGAAAAATTGCCAAAAAATTGTAAACACAAGTTATATAGCTTGACAAAGTCATGGCATTTTGTAATTGTGAAAAATATAAGTTGCCAAGTCATTGCTCTGACTTGTGAAGTTGAAAAATATTCAACTTCATGCAAGTTATCTTCCTACCAAATATGAAATACATCTGTCATTTAATAAAGGCTGTATGGGCAAAAGTGTAAAAATCTATTTTGAGCACTGGTGACCTTGACCAAACTGACCCCTAACTCTATCCCAAAGAAGAATACCATGTAAGTTATCTACCTACCAAATATGAAATACATGTCAATAAATAACATTGGTGACCTTGACATTGGTAACATTAACCTTGACCCAAATGACCCCTTACTACACCCAAAGAAGGAGGACCTCCCATGGCATGTTTGTATTAAACTAAGACATCAACTAAAAAATAAAGGCTGTATGAGCAAAAATGTTTTTATTTATTTTTTAAACCAGTGACCTTGACCCTAGAGACTGCTTACTCCACAAAAATTATTATTATAGGACCAACAAAGGTATCCACCTACTAAATATGAAAGATATCATTAAAGAAATTAAGCAATTAGGAGAAATTTAAGATAAATACAACTTGCCGAAATAGGTTAACCAGACAAGGTCCTATTTTCAAAGTGAAACAAGCAATTATCATAGTATTGCAAGCAATCCATAAGTCCCCTACCGGTTAGAACCCCATCAACATTCTGAAGGGCCATTGGCCATTCACTAATGTTTCAATTTTTCTCTATTTTAAGTAAATTTGTTGGAAAAGTTCTTTAAAAGTGATCACAGGAAACAGTTTTTATGAACAGACAGACAGACGGACTGAAGGACACTCTAAAGTTAATATTTGAAACATCCCTGTTACCAAAATATAACATTTTTAAAAGCAAAATTCTTAAAGAGGAGATAACTCTTGAATTAAAGATGCAATTTCATAAAAATGTTCAGCTCTTTTTGACTAATCACAAATATTGTTATATTTGCCATGTTTTAAGCCTATTTGTTGCCAAGGCAACCAATATTTTTTCAAAATAGGAAGAAAAGATAAGACATGCATAATCTCCAGACTGCCATCTACCCATATGTCAAGTTTCATAAAAATATTTCCAGTACTTTTTGAGTTATCACTTGATTTAGTTTATGTGTTAAATTTGCCATATTTTCAGTCTATGTGTTGCCATAGCAACCAGAATTTTCAACATAGGAAGAACAGAAAAAGACGTGCATAATCTCCAGACTGCCATCTACCCATATTACAAGTTTCATAAAAATATTTCCCTTACTTTTTGCGTTAACACTGGATCCAGTTTATGTGTAAAATTTGCCATATTTTCAGTCTATTTGTTGCCATAGCAACCAGAATTTTCAACATAGGAAGAAAAGAAAAAGACATGCATAATCTCCAGACTGCCATCTACCCATATTTCAAGTTTCATAAAAATATTTCCAGTACTTTTTGGGTTATCACTGGATCCAGTTTATGTGTAAAATTTGCCATATTTTCAGCCTATTTGTTGCCATAGCAACCAGAATTTTCAACATAGGAAGAAAAGAAAAGACATGCATAATCTCCATACTGCCATCTATCCATATATCAAGTTTCATAAAAATACTTTCAGTACTTTTCAAGTTATCGGGGGATCCAGTTTTGTGGACGGACGTTCTAACAGGAGAGTAATTATGTGGCTATCTATTGTTCTCTCTATTGTTCTTTTTAGCCACACAAAAGAAAATAGCCACATAAAAGCATTACGGAATGAATGACATCAAAGAGAAAGAACAGTTACCTATTGTCCCTCTAGCCACATAATTACTGTCCTGTGAGTGCGGACTGACAGACAGACGGACGGACAGACGGACGGAGGGTAAACCTAAAGTCCCCTCAGGTAAACCGGTAGGGGACTAAAAAGGGAAATAACTGGGAAATAGGGATGACACAGTTATATTACTTGGCAATATCATGTACTTTGTATTGATAAGTAAGTGTGGAAATTATAAAGCCATTAGTATAGATAGAACTTAAGATATTTCCAACTTGCCGTTTTAGGTTAACCATTATTCATTTTCTAAGTGCTGAAAAGGGCAATAACTTGGTAAATATGAAAGCCAGAGTTATGTAACTTGCCCAGATCATGTACTTTGTATTGATTAGTAAGTGTGTAAACTTAGAAGCCATTGGTACAGGTAGAACTTAAGAAAAATCCAACTTGCCGTTCTAGGTTAACCTTGTATGGACGGACAGACAGACGGTTCAATTACTATATGCCTGGGGGCATAAAAAATGTTTATCTAGAAAAAAATTAAAGAAAATGACACATTTCACAGAAATAAATGGAGAATTCAAAAATAAATTGAACTACTAATATTTTCCTTGTTTATCTACAACGCTTGTGCACATATATATTCAATAACTTAATATTATCTTTGACTCTATAAACACATACAGAAAACAAGATAATTCAATGCAATGAATTACATACTGATAAAAAATCTTTACACTCGATGTCATGTAACCATTTAAGATAGCCAAATTCGTCTTTTTGAAGAAAACTATTTAGCTGTGTTTGCTGGGGTGTTGGTAAAGATAAAAGTCGCCCTTGTTTCCCTGAAAGAATAAGAAACGAAATGTAACAACATATCCAGAAAGGTAAATCACTTAAGCATTTATGCCTTAAAAAATCTCAGCCAATTTCCCTTCGTAGACAAATCTTGTCAGCATTTACCCTCTACTCAACTAATCCAAGTACCAGACTAACTGGACTTGGGATGATCTAATTTTCCCCTAAGTTTTTAATTATTTTTTTTATAGGTCTCATGACAACTTTCAAGCTTTATTGGTGGAGTAAGACCTCAGGTGCCCTTCTGTACATTATTCCAGGCACAAATGGGTACCTTAGTAGAACCACCAATGTGGCTACGATTATCTATACCACTAGCCCACAAATATTTATCTCCCATTCTAATGTAATACATTAAGAACATCAACTTCATATGAGATAGATCGGTACACAGATACGTACACTGAGCTTTTATTTGATTTAACCACTAACATTGAAGCATGTTCTTTAGTTAACAAATATATTGTGGTGAAATTCTTTCTGTAATCCAATAATCTGATAATTTAAATTAGAAAGATCAGGGTCATGCTGACATCTTCATGTATGCATTATTCATTTACAGATTTAAAGATTGAAATATTCAATTTGAGTGGAGAAGTACAAGTACTCAGTATTGTCAGATTGCAAGGATGTGCAGACTGGCCTGGTTATATACTGGTGGCATAAACAATTAATTATTGTTGCTAAAATTCTAAGGCTTTTACATTATCAGATAGATACAAAAAAAACTTACTATCGTGTAAAAAACATCTTAAAAACAATCTTTAATATAATATTTATTTAAGTTGTTTTTAGCCAAAATCATCTTTCCTGTTTTGGCACCATATTACATAAATTGTATTGGTGTGCCGTAAAATGAAACAAAACAAACTAGAACTGCCACTGTCATGGCGTGAATACCCCCGCCTACCACTTTGTCAGAATCAACACTGGCCATTTAGAGCCCAAGGACAACCTCCCTGCAAAATCTGAGGTTACTAAGCCAGTGCATTGCTAAGTTATGTATTCTACATGCTTCAAATGTCAAAATCAATACACTGCAGACAGGCATTCTTAAGCATTTGAGCAGACAAGCTTATTATAGTAAAATCCATGTGACCTTGACCTTTGACACAGTCACCTTAAAAATCAAAAGGAGTCATCTACTAGTAATAAATAACCTCAATACCAAATATGAAGACTGTTGACCATAGCCTTCTTAAGCAATTGAGTGGACAAGCTTTTTTTAGTCAAGGCCCCTGTGACCTTGACCTTTGACCTCAAAATCAATAGGGGTCATGTACTAATCATGACTAACCTCCATGCCAAATATGAAGACTGTGGGTCAAAGGATTCTTAAGTTATTGGGCGGACAAGCTTTTTGAAGTCAAGGCCCCTGTGACCTTGACCTTTGACCTCAAAATCAATAGGGGTCATGTATTAATCATGACTAACCTCCATGCCAAATAAGAAGAATGTGAGTCAAAGGATTCTTAAGTTATTGGGCGGACAAGCTTTTTGAAGTCAAGGCCCCTGTGACCTTTGACCTGGTGACCACAAAATCAATAGGGATCATCTACTAATCATGACTAACCTCCATGCCAAATATGAAGACTGTGGGTCAAAGGATTCTTAAGTTATTGGGCGGACAAGCTTTTTGAAGTCAAGGCCCCTGTGACCTTGACCTTTGACCTGATGACCTCAAAATCAATAGGGGTCATCTACTAATCATGACTAACCTCCATGCCAAATATGAAGACTGTGGGTCATAGGATATTTAAGTTATTGGGCGGACAAGCTTTTTGAAGTCAAGGCCCCTGTGACCTTGACCTTTGACCTCAAAATCAATAGGGGTCATGTATGCTAATTATGACTAACCTCCATGCCAATTATGAAGACTGTGGGTCAAAGGATTCTTAAGTTATTTGGCAGACAAGAAAAAAAACGACGGACGCCAGACGGACAAGCTGATTCCAGTATACCCCCCTTACAACTTTGTTGTGCGGGGGTATAAAAACTGTCCATGTACAACATGTATGAAGAGACAAGTGTACTTAAAAGGTTTTGATATAGATATACCTACAAAAATTACCCCTTAGAACTGAATTTATTGAAGTGCGATATTTGAAATAGTAAAATATAATGAACCTAAATAATTACCTTCTTTCATGTACCATGAGAAGAGGAAATCTGAGAAACCCTGAAACAAAAATAAACAAGAGGTAGATAAATGGTACTCAGTAATGTAGTCATATAACATATGACAGATTATCAATTTTGTAGTGATACGATTTTACCACTACCTTGCTAAATTTGTGTAATAAAAGGTTTCATGCTTTGAAGTCAAACCTGTTAATTAGAAACATTACTGTGACTTGTAAACCCTTACCCTACAGAAAACTGTGAAGTTAACTTCATGAATTCAGACTTGTCCATTGTCACTTCGTATGTTTCAATAATATTGCCGAACTAGAATATAGAACTGTCTCAGTGTGTGTAGATGTACAGGTTTACCTGGGGATATACTGGTGCCATGAAAAAGTTATTATAACTGTTAGCAAGCTTAAAATTTAAAGCCAACTGCTTTATCAAATTTGGCCTATAAGTTACGGTTGCCCATATTTTATGTCAATATCAACCAATGACCACTATAATCTTACTTTGTCAGCAAACTGTTGCTGGTATCTTTGTATCCTTTCCTGGTTTCCGGTCTCCTCACATATTCTTATCAACATCTCAAAGTCACAGTATTTCTCTGCCAGGGAACCAGCCCTCTCATACTGTTTATGTTCCACTGAAAAATGAAGTTTATTTAGGACATGTAGATCAGATATTTCATTTGTGACGCATCTTGACATAACAAACTTAATCAAGATAGGATTTACGATTTCAAATGCTTTCAGTCTAGCAAAAATCTAAGGGATTTAGATATAGAATTTATTTCCAGATTTCTACAGTTCAGTAATGGTAATGTCCATCATGTCATCTTACTGCTAAATCAGACAAGTACACAAAATAACTGATCAATATTTGTTCCTCTAACATGTAATTAAATTATGCATATATCAATTATTGCTCATAACATTTTATCTCTATCTCTGATAACATTTTGCCTGATTATCATATAAGATTTTAATTACTAATAGGATTTTACCCCAATCATTTACAAAATATTTAACTCATTCAGCTATATTTTAGATTTTTTTATCATATATAAGATTTTGTTTCAATTGATTTCCTAAAATTGAATTATGTATATATCAATTATTGCTCAAGATTCAATGGCTTATAAGATATCCCTTAATCATATATGACATTTTACCTCATTAGCTTATAAGATTTTACCCCAATTGCTCATAAGATTTTGCCCAAATTGCTGGCTTACAGATTTTACCCAAATTGCTGGCCGTAAGATTTAACCCCCAATTGCTTCAACAACTTATAACAATCATTTGCAAGTGTTTGCCGCAAACTGATATTGTTTCTCAACAAACCCTATATATCTTAGTATTATAGCAAAAACACGACAGACTGACATAATTGGACACTGGTAAAATTATAATATACTTACAGAAAGGACCAATCAGATTATGTCTCTCTTGTCTATATTGTTCCTCAACCTGCATTGTGTATTCTACCATATCTTCATTGTTACATATTGAGGCTATCTGACTGTTGTAACCATCTAGAATATTGTCAGCTAATGCTATCATATGCTGAAACAGCTGTTCACGTGTTTCTAAATCTCTAACCTCTGGTATGGCTGAGTCTAATGTCAACATGAACTGAAAATTATGTAATATCAATCAATTTTTTTGTTGTTGTTGGGTTTTTCTGTCGCACTAACAAAGTTGTGATTCTTTGGCCACTTTCTAGCTTTTCTGGTGGAGCAAGACCTCAGGTGCCTCTCTTTGTATTATTTCAGGCATACGTAGGCACCCCAAGTAGAGCCATCAACATTTGATAAGCTGGCAGGGTCTGGCAAGATTTTAACCCACAGCGGTTATAATAAATCAATACAACCCATTTGAACAATATGATAGAATTAATACTGGTACTTTCAATGGCAGGGAAGTGCAGCAAGATGCATTATTAAATGTGGATGCTACCATGAAGTAAATTGTTTGTTTGGATTTGGTTTATTCACTAAGAGTTCTGTTGTTAGAAAGTGATCGTACCTGTTTATGAATAAGTGTTCTGACCCCAGATGTTCCAGACGTGGATGTCCACGGCATAAATTCCGGTGTACGCGTAAGTTCCATTCCGGTTCCATATGATAATGCTTTACTCTGACGGTAATCTATGGCTGCATGCAACATTCCCTGAAATATTGAAATGTTTGGAAATCAATAGAAATTTGCAGAAGTAGAGAGCAAAAGGCAGAATAAAAAAAATTCATTATCATAAAAAAGTTGCAAGTCTAAAAATAATTCATATTCAAATGGTTCTAGATCCTACTTACTAACCATAATGCCTTGCACCCCATAAATCTGTAGTTTCACGATTTAAATTTAAATAAAACAAGACTGCCTGTCAGAATAATCATGAAGTTTATATGTAGATATGTATCTTACAACGAGTTAATATTTCCCTACAGTGATATATTGTTGTAGATGAAACAACGAGTTAATATTTCTTTACAGTGATACATTGTTTTTAGTAGAGTGTAAATATCATGTTTAAACCAGTCGCTGTATGTATACATGTTTAAAGGTCAGATCGTTTAGCTAGCAAATATGCGCGTTTAGAGAGAGATTTTATATCAGTTAGGAGACACACGCTTATAGTGTGAGGGGTTATTTTTTTATTGGGAAGAGAATTTTGTTGTTTTGAAGAGAATTTTGTTGTTTTGAAGTCAGTTTTGTTGGTTTGTTGAAGTGGTTGAATATAATTGTGGTGATCATAATTGATCAGGGTTTATTGGTTGTAATTAGTTGTTTTGGTTGTTGAGTTATATCTGTTTGTGAAGATATAATTGGTTGATATTGGTTGAATGTTTGGTATTATATCAAGATTATATTAGTTGCTGCTTTGTTTTGAGGATATATGTAAATATTGGGTGCTTTAGTTTAAGTTGTTTTCTGATGCTGATTGAGTGAAGTTAATATTGTTGGATGAATGTTTGTGGTTTATACCGTATCTTAGAGTTGTAAAAATATTCATTTTTTGTGTTCTTCATTTTGTGGTGATTTTATTGTTGTTTGATCATAAGTTGTTTAGAGCTTGGGCTCGCCAGGTGTCTTGTTTCGTGTAAAAGACGTATACGTGAAAAGATATTTCATATAAGTGGCTGATAAATGATGTGTGTTTGTTTTGGGTGTAAATAATGATCAGAGTTCTTTGTTTTGGGTGTAAATAATAATCAGAGTTTATTGTTTACATGTATATATTGATTTGAAATAGAAAAGATAAAAATACCTAAAAAAATAGTGTTAACTAAACAATTACATGCTAGTTTTCCAACTGAGAATATTTCACTTTTATGTCAGGCGGTGCTGCCCAGCCTCCATATCTTGGAAATTGGTTCTAGTATTTATTACTAAATCTTTTCTTAGATTAAATAACATCAAGGCAGACATTTCTCCTGACAATTTGGGGGCTCGTCCGGGATATTCTCTTTAAGTTGGAATCTTTTCTGGCAAAATATTGTTTGTTAAACTTTGATAAAAATTTTGTTAAACTTTAAATCATTTACGATCTGTTGGTAAAATGTAGCAGTGTAAAATGCTGTTAGGCAAAAATCGATAAATCTGTTGTAGTGTTATACAAGTAAACTCTCTGTACAATAGAGTTTAAGTAGAGAGTTATATGTATAGAAGCGGTGACGGGCTGTGTTTAAAGTTTATTTATACTGAAGAAGTTATTACATTTTAGCAGGAGAGCACCCTTTGTTGAATACTGTTTATACGGTGATAGAATTAAATGGTTTTTGGGAGACATTTGTTTCGATAGTTTGAATCATTGTGTTAAAAGGTTTATATCGATGATAAAGATATAACTTATAATTTGTTGAGGTTATAAACATCAGTAGTTGATTAAAGTTTATAACCGATGTTCAGTGGGTGATTTATTCATAAAAGTGTATGTAATAGTTGAATAGATAGTTTTTGCTGCCGGTGCTCAGTTGGTTGTTTTCTTAAAGTTTACATAGTTGTTAAACACTGCAGGAAGATTATTATCGGTCCCCTGGTTGTTACTGTTGATACAAGTTCATTGCCGGTGCCCAGGTAGGTGCCACTGTCAATAGAGATTAGATTTGGAAAATAACGATTGTC